TATTGGCCGCCGGGCCTTGCAGAACTTGATCATTCACAACCAGGAACTACCATACCTCCTGGAACACTGCATAGCCCGCTGCTACCTATCCGACGTTTCCAAGGTTCAAGAGAGCTATTTTGCCGTCGTGACCAAGGTTCTGCTCGAACACCTTGACTACACGTGTCCATTTTGGAAGTTGCTTGGGCTCTGCCTCTTCACCCTCGGTAACGACGAAAGTGAAATCCGATCAAAGTCTGCCCGTTTGATGAGGGCCCTCGAAGAGAGACAGCAACCAGGGCGTACTTCCAAGATCCAGGACTACGACATTAGCATTTCCGACAAGACAAAGGCGGTCTACAAGCTCGCGCAGTTCGAAATCTCGAAGCGACTTGCCAAACAGCACACCGAACTGGCGTTCCACATCTTCTCCGAGTTCACCCTATACTTCAAGGATCTCCAGCCTGCCTCACAGCGGAATGTGGTTGCCGTCATATTACCCTGGATCCAGTCGATAGAGCTGACAGTCGATCCTAACGGCGGTCCTATCGCTCAGTCGTACGTTCTGTTGGCCAACCTACTAGAGATCACCATCAAATCGAGCGGCGCTCTACACAACGAGGTACAAGCCTTATGGCAAGCTCTCGCTACCGGACCCTACCCTGGAAACGTGCGGCTGATCCTCGACTTCATCATATCTCTCTGCCTCGAGAGACGCGAGCAAAATTTTGTAGAATACGCTAAACAGATTGTGGTGTTCCTCTCCAGCACCACCAGCACCCCCGGCATGAAGGTTGTGGAATTTCTCCTCTTGCAAATTACTCCGAAAGCGATGGTTCCAAACGAGAAAAAAGATGCCATGCCGCCGCCGCCTGACATCGGCCTGCTTCCGTACTGTGCAGATCTGGGAGAGGCACTCCCCGTGGGCACGAAGCAAGCTGGATTCTCCCTCGGACAGCTTTCCCTCATCCTTCTTGTGGATCTCATGGTTTCTCCTGTGCACCTCATCCCCGAGAACGTACCGGTGCTACTTCAGGTGGTGACCGTGCTCTGGGACCACTACACCCCTCTCGTCCAAGAGCAAGCCAGAGAAATGCTGATCCATCTCATCCATGAGCTTGTCATTTCTCAACTGGATGACCAGACGGAGCCTACGGCTAGGGCATCAATCGAAAACCTCATTGACATGATTCGCCGCCATGATCGATCAGTCGTCTGGGGTTACGAAGACAGCAATGGCAAGGCCGACGACCACGACAACAAGGTCCCTCCAAGCATGGAATTCTTGACAACCGAGGTTGTTAAGACGTTTGAAATGACCTACCCGGGCATCAAAGACCAATGGGGCAGGCTATCCCTGACATGGGCGACCTCATGCCCCGTCAGACACCTCGCGTGCCGCTCATTCCAAATTTTCCGCTGCATCCTCACGTCACTGGACCAGTTCATGCTGGGCGATATGCTCGCCCGCTTGTCAAACACCATTGCGGACGAAGACACCGAGATCCAAACATTTGCCATGGAGATTCTCACCACACTCAAGACGCTTATCCTCAAGCTCGACGCAGACAAATTGCTCACATTTCCTCAGTTATTCTGGACAACGTGTGCTTGCTTGGAGTCCATCAACGAGCGCGAGTACTTGGAGGCTGTAGAGATGCTCAACGAGTTCCTGACAAAGGTTGACTTTAGGTCGCCAAACGTTCGCAGGTTGTTGCTCGATGGCCAGCCTTCGAGGTGGGACGGTGCTTGGGAGGGTCTCCAGTCTTTGCTCTACAAAGGGTTGAGATCATCCATCTGTATGGAGGCCACGCTCAGCACGTTGAACAAAGTGGTTCAGCTGCCTAGCGACGGACTCATTGGTGAAGACAATCGAGTATTCTTCGCGATTTTGGCCAACTTCCCACGCTTTTTGCACGAGATGGAAGAAGAGGAGCCCAGTCAGCAAGTTCTGCAATCCGCAGAAATCCTGTGCGCTGTTTGCGAGACCCACGGATACGGTAACGTCGCTGAAGTCCTCCAGGAATACGTCAGCTTCAAATACCAGGGCAACAACAGAGAGTTCCAGAGCCGCCTATTCGCCTCGCTCCAGGACCACTTCCTTCCCAACCTGGACTTTAAGATGGTGATTTTCCTCATGGGCCTGCTCACGAATTCCACCGCGTGGGTGAAACTCAAGACGATGAACATTTTGAGCATCGTCATACCCGAGATTGATATGCGGAAACCCGAGCTAGCTGGCCACGGTTCTGATCTCATTTCTCCTCTCTTGCGTCTACTACAGACTGAGTTCTGCATGGAGGCACTAGAGGTCTTGGACAACATCATGACAATGTCGGGGAGCGCCATGGACAAGCAACACCTGCGAATGAGCATGACTCGTTCCACTTCAAAGACGATCCGCAAGGAATACGAGCGGACTGTGAGTCTGTTTGGTATTCCAGAGGCATCAGGGTGGGCCATCCCGATTCCTGCTAGGAAGACCGATCTTACTCGCGCCAACATCCACGCCGCATTCTACATGTGCCAAGCCGCGGAGGGAATTCTGACGGAAGCGACGCCCACGCCCGATGTCGAGTTTCACACCGACGATTTCCCGTACAGCTATTTCCAGATGCCCGACAGGACCGAGACGATGTTGTCGGACGAAGGACGCGGCGACGGACACCTCGGCGACCTCGTGACCAAGCTAGACAGCCTCGACGATTTCTTCGACGATCTCGGCTCGAGCCCACCCAGCGACGGCCGCTCTTCAAGGACCATCACCGAGTTCTCACCGGATAGCTTCGAGTCCGGAGCGCAGTTGTATGATGAGCAAATCCTGCCAATCCTGCATCAGGCTTCAAACAACAGCACGTTCCAGAATGGGTTTACTGACAGGCCATCAGCTACGGCAAGGGATCCGAGTTCCAATACGATGAATCCTGGAGCTTTTAGCGCGTCGGCGGCGGCTGGCGGAGGCGGCATGGGAGCAGGGGGATCGCGACCCGGTCTCCACTACAGGTCAATCACGTCGCCGTCGGCCCCAGCGTCGTACCAGCCGCACATAAGCGAGTTCACGTCGGATGACGAGTTCCCCGAAGACGTATTCTCCGATGCGGACGACGAGCGACCGAACACGGGCCATGGGGGCGAGGGTTCCTTTTCTCTAGAGAACATGATCAAGCCGCTCGCGCAGAGTACGAGATCTCGAATGCGTCGTTTAACGGGAGGCAGATCACGCGAGAACGACCGACAACAAGAGCTTTTCCGAGCCGAGCGGGCCGTCGCGGCGCAGCAGGTTCCCAAAGTGCCGACCAACTTCTTGACAAAGATGCCACCGCAGGGAGAGATGCTCTAGAGGACGAAAAGGCGCAAAGCTCAATTAAAATAGTTATCAATTCAACTATACCGTGTACACTGAGTGCCTATCCCACCCTAACGGACGAGGGATGGAGGAGACATTACAAGTTTACAGAGCTTGGGAAGCCAAAAGATCCCCCGTTGCAGGGTGGGTAGAGAGGCATACAAACGACTTACGTAGCTTCGTATCACGATGAAGCATGGAGGGGAGGAGAGAGAGAAAGAGGGAGAGGAGTAAGATGGGGGCAGGGGTTAACGTACCTCACCTAATAATGAAAAAAAGAAACAAGGAATTCACACGAAAGTCTTAGGAATCACAGCATTAGCATCTTCTGGTTCAAGATAAAAAGTTTCTTGATTGTGTGAGACCAACCCTAGATTGTTTCCTGAGAGAGACACAGCCCTTGACATATTCCTTCTAAGCAAAGCTAACATGCAATGGATGCTGCGTGAGAAGGCCGTCGGGTTGGTGAAGGGGGGTATCTAGTATCGGTGCCTGGTGGAGTAGTCTGGCGCGAGAAACACGGTTAGCGATGGTGACGAGGACGACGACGGCATCGTGAGCCTGGCAGGGAAGGGGGAACCAGAGATTGACGCATACCTTTGGGACTGACGACGAGACCGCGGCCCTTTTTGGCACCGCGGTAGACCGTCTCGATGATGTCTATAAGTTCTTGTTTGTCTTCCAGCACCCAGTTGAGCTACAAAAGAAGGCAAACTCGTTAGTTTGACAGATTAAATGGCGCATTTTTGCGCAATACGAGAAGGGGGGAAGGAAAGGGTTACCTTATTGTTGTTACCCGTTCCGAAATCAACCATCATGTGCTTGTTCCGGAAGAAAAACATGATTGTGCAGGGGTCGTAGAGCTCGTACACTGTCGCGAGAATGAGAATTAGCGTCTGGGGTAGTGGACGGATTTTTGCAGTCTGTTTGTGCGTGTGTAAGGGGCGGAGATGATGAAGGCCGTACTCTGATTGAAATCGGGCACCTGGTCAATGTCGCAGACGTAGATGGAGGCGAAGTTCTTGACGCGGTCGGAGATACGGTAGAGGACTTCGTCTTGCTTCATGCAGTCGCGGTCTGCGTCTCTTCCGAAGCGGATCTGTGGGTGATTGTTAGAGACTCGGGAAGTGAAGTCGCACGTATACACGGCCCAATGGCCAACTTACCACGACGAGGCGCTCTTCTTCGGAGAGGATGGCTTGGTCGACGTGCCAGCCGCTGTTGAGATGGGGAATGACGATGGAGCCCATGGCGATGTCGTCTGATGTATGTCTAGGGACTTTATATAGTTTGAGTGTCGTGAGGGCGCGTTGCGGGATCGTGGGGATATGACATGCGTCAGCGGTATCGAGGATGAGTCTGCGATGAGGTGGACCGGGTTTCTTGAGGTCGCAAGAGGTTTGTTTGAGTTTCCAGCAGTCTGCAGATGGTCGGCGAAATGTCATTGCGGGTCCCCCCTGCTAAGGTACCCCAATCTGCCCCTCCGGATCCCCGCGCTAAACCTGGAAGGAAAACGATCAGAGCGGTCGGTGCCGGCAGAACTTTTTATTTCTTGGACGGTATCCACTGTCGTCGATTCCCATGGAGGATTTCTTGGTAGAGATGCAGTGGACGAGTCCGCTCACTTAGGACAACCCTTTTTCTTTTTTTTCCCTCTTCAGACGAGATACCCAGAATGCCCAAACGTCCATCGCGCGGACTCGAGGGCGCAGATGCGTCCCGCAAGAGGCAAAAGGTCGTCCATGAAGCGCCGACTTTCGAAGAGGTTGCTTCAGCGCGGCACCTGCAGCAGCTTTTGACCTTTGAGCAGGACCAGAAGCGAGCGCGGCATGGTAAGCGCATTTTCTTTTCTCAAACTGCAGGCGAATTACACAAGGCTGACTCGTTCCCTCCTCTCTATCAGGTATTCAATCCCTCAAAGTCTTCCTCGACGGCTTCAATTCGAGTAATGGCGACAACGATGGCCGCTTCGCCCTCCTCAGAGAGTACCTCGAGGCCTCCCGGCCGCGCGACAACACCGGCGACGACGCCGTCTACCTCGCCGACGTGATGGAGACCTGGTTCTATGGCGTGCAAGTCAATAACGAGGCCATGATGTCCGCCCTGCCCGCCGTGCTGGCCCTACTCCTCCAAGTCGTCTCGCAGTCCCTCCAGCTCCTGCCCCACGCCCTCAACATCGCCCACACGTTGCTGCAGGAGCGCCAGCTCAAGCTTATTGCCAAGTGCCTCTCAGCGCCCAAGGGAAGCGGCTACGTCATATCGCCGACGTTGCGACTGATGCGTGAGCTCGTGACGCTGGACGGTGGGACGCTCGCGAGGAGGGTCTTCCGGGCCCGTGACTACACGTTCGCGAGTTTCGCGAGGAACCTCGAAATTCGGCACCTTGGCGCGGAAGGTGAGAGAGGAGGAGGCGTGGTGGAGGACCCGTCCAAGCCGTCGGTCCGGACGAACGCGATCAAGCTGTTCCTGAGCTGCCTCAAATTCTTGCCGTCCGAGGCGAAGAAGGAGATGTTGATGCTCAAGGAGGTGTTTTCGCACCTGACGTTCTTGATCAAGGACGACCCGCCGTTCTTGATTCTTGAGATGCTGGCTGCGCTGAAGAAGAGCGTGCTCCTGGACGAGAAGCTGCCGCGCGAGGTCAAGTTTAGGACGTTCAACACCAAGACACTAGATCGACTGGCCGGGTTGTACATGTACAGACACGATGTCGAGGGAGACGACCAGCCTTCGGTGAGGGAGGCCGTTCATGAGTTCCTGCTCTACACCTGCACGACACCGGGGGCAGGTGTGCTGTACTCCGGAACGGGGCTGTACCCCAAGGAGCTCGAGGATGAGGCGGCGCAGGACGTCAAGAGCTTGGACGACTACGCCCTGGAGCGCGTCGCGTGGATGGACAAGTACAAGGACGACATCGCCGTCGCGAACTTTGTGCTCTCCGAGTTTATCCAAAAGTTGCGTCCGTGGTCGAGTCTAAAGCATAGCGAGCTCATCGTCGCCATCTTCCAGTCGGCGCCTGAGTTGGTTGCCAGTTACTTCATCAACAATAAGTCATTCACATTTGAGCCGAAGCTTTCCATGACGTGGATCGGGTACGCTGCGTTCCTGTTCAACACGGTCAACCTTTCGCTACCGCCGCACTACGGTCCCACAACGGGCTACCGCCGCGTGCCCCCGCCCACGTCCATCCTCCTCGACAACATTCTGCCGCTCCCCCTCAAGCAGCGCGACCTGTTGCGGTGTTTCTCGTCAAAGTCCACCCTCGTCTCCTTCTTTGCCGTCCGAATCCTCATACTTGCCCTCCAGAAGCTCGAGGTCGCGTTGAAAATGCACCGCGAGGCAGCCGAGTCCTCAAAATCAATCTGGGAGACGGCGAGCCGCAAGCTCGTTGACGAGTTCTGTCAAAGAATTCCAGACATGAAAGAGGTGACAAAGTGCTACAAGGCCATGGCGGAGGAGAACGTCCTCCAGCGTGAGGCCGCCAGCAGGCTGCTGCTGCTGTATTACGAGGTCATCCCACAGGTCGCGCTGCGTGCCAACTTTGACGTCTCGCCGTTCCTGGTCAACTCGCTCACTCGTCTTGGCAGCAAGGCGGACGAGCCACAGAACCAGGCTCTCTCACTCATGGAGTTGGAAAACCTGATTGCCATTGCGGGTTACTCGCCCGGCATGAGATGGTTTGCCAAGACGGAGGGCCTCGCAGCGTCGCCGTTTGTCGCGCTGCTCAAATTTTACGTCGAGGCCGCCCAGGGACGACCAAAGTTGAAGGAGGTGCTTGAATCCGTCGCAGTGCAGCACCAGCTGGTGCTACAGACGACTGGCCTCGTCCCTCTTCTCTGCGCCGCGCGGGAGTTGAAGAAGGGCGGCAAATCTAGGAACCTGGACCTCATTTGGGAGTTTATCGATAACTGCGCCGGAAGATGCGCCGCCTCACCCCTGAAATACGTGGACCTGATGCAGGAAAGCGTTATTCAGGGCGAGGACGATGTCTCTGCTAGCTTGATCTTGGCAACGATGGTTGAGCAGCTGTCTTTTGTGGCCGACAAGGCCACGGACAAGAAGGACTTGGAGCTTCTTTCCAAGTTCCTTACGACGCTCCTGAGCTGCGCGCAGACTAAGGGGGAGACAATTGCCGTGATCAGCGTTGTTGCTAAGAAGATGAACGAGGCTTTAGGAGGTCAAGCCTCGACGATCGTCCCAAAGACTGACAACGCTGTGCTTGATGGCGAACATGGGGATGAGGTTGCCACAACTGAAGAAGCTGGTTCCAAATCACAGTGGCAGAAATCGAACGTCAATGATGAAGAGATGGACGAGTCTTCGCTAGAGGTCATTCTCGATGTACCGTACGAGCTTGACGAGGACAACTCTGCCCTCTTGAAGTGGAACTCCAAGTCCGTAGAGGACTTCGTTGACGAGGGCTACGCCGCAGCGCTCATCCGCTTGCTGTGGTCAGAACACGGCAGCATTCGCCAAGAAGCCCTCACGAACATCATGAAGATGGCTGCCAAAATCAAGGAGTCCAACTACGAAGAAAAAGACCAAATATGGCTCCTCCTGTCCGAGCTAGCAGAGTCGTCCCGCGGCCTCGTGACCCGCGGCCCCGTCGCTTCACCCCTCGTCTCCTTCGCCATCGCCTCCCTCGAGGTCCTCAAGAACCCGCTGCACTGCCTCTACGCCAAGGTGAACAGCTTCCTCACCCGCGGCCCCGTATGGCAGCACGACAAGGTGCCCCTTGCGCATGACATCTTCCACGGCGCGCCGTCGGAGGACGACAGGTACTACACCGAGGTGAGCTGGCTGCTGGCGTACCTGCTGGACGGCCTGCGCACGCCCGCGGACCTGGCCGTGTACCACCAGAAGAAGTGGTTCGAAAAGATCTTTGCGCTGGCGGGCAATCCGTACATGCGGGCGAACCTGCGGACGAGGATCTTGAGGATTCTGTGGCGGGCGACGTGCATCGAGGGCGGTAGCACGACGCTGGCGACGAGGTTTGGGATCGTGAGCTGGTTGGAGGTGCAGGAGGCCCGGTATCGGGGTGCCGCTGGTGGCAGCGGTGGTGCCGAGAAGGTTGATAAGGATACGAGGGAGACGAGGAGGCTGTATCGCGCCCTGAGGAGGCGGGTTTGGGAGACTTGTGACCAGGAAAGGGTCGGGGAGTGGAGTCGGAAGGGTGTTCCCTTGGGTCTGGAGGCTTGAGGGTGAGGAGGGTCGAAAAGCAAATGGATGGTCGGACTAGTACCACAATAGTGTACAAATCGAAAATGGGAAAATTGGAGTAAGGGGCAGGGACATATAGAATTTCTTCCTCGTCAATGTGTGAAGTACACATCATAGCAGGTTGTCAAAACCCTGTCGAGCTGGAAACTGGTAGCTTAATTGTCTATGTGTCTGTGAGAATGGCACCTGGGACTCGAATAATGTCGTCGAGCTCGCGATCTAAAATCAACACAACGTTGAAGGTCAGGCAGATCTGGACTGCGAGGGAAAAGGGAACCGCGGCATGAGGAACGTCGATGAGTGACTGTCTGGTCTAGAATCCACGGACACAGCCTTACACCCTTGAGCATATCCTCTATAAATGTAGGCTAAGTCTGCCAGTATAGAGATCTGGTCAAGTTGGGTTTACCCTTCTTGAAAGAGAAACTTGCTTTCTGAAATACGAGTCTTCACTAAGCCCTCCTACACACACACACACACACACACACACAACATTCTGCTGTTTATGCGATAAATCAGGGAAGGATTGTCAGGATCTCATCGAGCAAAGAATCCGTGTTCTTTCTAACAGCTATACGAATAGCCCTACTATTATGGCGCTGTTAATTAGCAGCTCAAGATATAAAGGCACTAGTGGAATAATCTGTTCATTTCTTCTTCTCTTCATTTTGTTCATGGACGATACCAACGTACAAATACACCCTGTCTATCAAGCAAAAGGTAGAACCATCATTTGGACGAAGTATTAGCAAATCCCGAGAGGAAGGCTGAACATCTTTGACCAAGTTATACCAACTAGATTTTGTCAGTATACAAAACAGAATTGCATTACAAACATGTCAAAAATGCCTTGGCATGTTATTTTAGTGTATCGAATGACCAATCCCTCCAATTCAACGAGGGTCACGAAACCTACGCGGGCCGATCCATTGGATTTGGCAGTCCAAAGAAGATTGCCGCTTGTTTCTGCCTGTACATAAACTTTTCAGTTTGAGTAAGGTGCCAACAAAGTAGCCGAAACTAAGCTCGACAAGGATATAAGAGGAAACGCAAAGCCGCGAAGACAAGACCAATGCTAATGCAATGCGAATTCAAAGGATCAAGTAAATAACATTGAGCCCATGTTGCTGCGCATATCTATCGTCTATTTCTATTCGTGGTCTATAATAATTTTCCTTACTATGCAACATGTAAACATAACGAACGCGGCGTTCCAGGTTGACAGAAGCTCAGTCCAAAACTACGAGGTAGTTCATGGCAAGTCGCCCTCGCACCTTTGGCATCCGCACTCAAAACCCCAGTTTCTCTTCAAGGTCGAAACCCTCTTCTCTCTCGACCACTTCTTCTCTTCTCCTCCCAGGTACGTGATGCACATCTCCTCCCCCTTGCCGATATCCCTTCCAGCTCGGAACTCCCACACCCTGCCCTCCCTCCTCTTCTCGATGTTCGGGCCACACGAATGGTTCCAGTAGCTGGCGGCGGGCCAGCAACCGTACCCAAAGAGCTCGGACCCTTCGTCCTCGAGGGACCGGATGCCAAACGCGTTGTGGTTGTCGCGCGAGGAGATGAGGAAGAGGGACTCGGGCGTGACGAGCGAGAGTAAGGGTAAGGGGAGGACCGCGAGCAGCTGCAGGTAGGTGGCGGTGAAGGCGTGCAGGTCGTCGGTGTCGATGTACGGCGTCGAGTCCACGGCGAGGGAGAGGACGTGCTCCCACCGTTTAGGGTGGTTGTACAGGACGACGAGACTGCCCACGCAGAAGTTCATGATGTCCGGTGTGACGGGCTGCTGGAGTGCTTTCTGAACGGCCTTGCGGTGTTGCTTTGTGATGGGCATGCCGCCGCTGCCCTTGCCGCCGTCTGCCGCCGTCTCTAGGCCGCCGAGGCCAGCCGATTCTGCCATGCGTACTGTGCGAATCAGCTCCGCCTGCCCCTTGGTAGCTTGCCACGCCTGCGCGATGTCCTCTGCCGCGGGTCTCGGCGCGGCGATGTCCACCATTTCGTTCCTGTCTTTACTGCCGCTGTTGCCCTTCTTCTTGACCAGCGTACTCACCTCGGTCCAAGCCTGGACACCTACCTCGCCGGTCTCCCGCCTCCACTGTTCCCGACATTCATCGGAGCAAAAGGCGAAACCGACAGTCTGGTCACGTATGGGCAGGTCTCTGCCGTAATCGTAAGCAAAACACTGCCCGCAGACCTCGCGCCTGTACTCCCGTAGGAGGACTGAGAGCGTGAGGTCGTCGGAGCGCCACAGCAGGGTGCCGGCGGCGACGTCCCGGGTCGCGAAGACGGCGCGGCCGGCCGTTGGGGTGTCACGAATCTCAAAGAGCGAGGAGACGGGGGCACCTGAGACGAAGGGCTTGTCGGCGTCAGAGGTCACTGCCAAAGACGACGGAGCGGACGAGATTGAGGATGGTCTCGAGAAGCTCGATGCTGGGTAACTCGTCAGTAGAGTTTCGGTGTCGCTTTCGACACAGTTCATCGTGGGCGGTTGCATGTTCATTCCGAGCGGAGTCGTGCGAGTCGTGATGAATGTCAACTCTTGTGGCCTTGAGTTCTGCAAGGTAATTCTTTTTCTTCTTCTTCTTGTAACCCTCTGTCACTTGAGTTAAGAAAAGTGAGTGGCTGTGAGCAATCAAGGCTCCTCGGAGGAGTTGATGAAGTGATAGCAGGTTGTGATCCGGACCTCGGCGTTCAGCTTTGTAAAGAACGTATACTACCGATGGAATTCAAGTTTTGAGTAAACGCCATGCTGTAGTTTGGTTCTCTGGAGTATATTTTGAAGTCAAGAGGAAAGTCGAACTATGAGAGCAAAAAATAAACAAATGAATACCGTAGATGGCAGAGTGAAGCTTTTAAATGTCGTTGTGTGGGCCCGACCCTTGGACCCCTAGATTGACAAGTTCGGACTAGTGTGAAGCGAACTAATCTAAAGATAAGCGAATGGCAGCGAGAATGTGTTGCATGCGGACGGGGGAAAAAATCTCCTGCCTTTTCGAGGTTTTAGGTTGGACGACTTTGAAGTGCGCGAACTGCAGCGTGGAACACAATAAGCGGTGAAGTGGTTGAAAGTGAACACAAAAAGCTCCTGACTGCGAGATTGTGTGTGTCTTACCCGAACCACTAACGCCACAGCAAATTAGTACTTTAAGGATGGAGAATCTCACAAAAGCCCGAATCCAGATGAAAAGAATGGGTCAGGATTGGAATTAGGCTTGAAGAGAGGGAATGAGGGGGAATGAGCTTCAGAAAATCATGGAACCATATATCTTCCTTCTCCTGCTTTTCCTAAATCAATGAATGGGTCGGGTTTCTGTAGAATAATATTCCTATAATATTCCTACACAGTAGACGCTGAGAACCCGAGCATTGGCTCTCGATTGTCTATTTCTGTAAGCGTGAGCTCGTGACATATCGCAGAGGTAGACTCCCAAACTTCAAAGCATTGATGTATAGCGGGCCATTCCTTTGGTGTGTAGTCGTAGAATAAGTAGTCAGAGTTCCAAGACGGAGGGTGTAGTGGTGGGTGGTAAAGTAAAGTAAGCAGCTTTAAGATCTCGGTTAAGCTCCAAGAGGCAGATGGCGGGGTAGGTGTGCGATTGTTTCCCCATCTCCAGAGAGAAAGAGAGAGGGAGTGCGCGTGAGAGAGGGAGGGAGGAGGTACGTACCGGCAACTTGGGCAGGCTGCTGGTCCGGGCTTTTTTAAAGGTCGAGAGTCCCATGGCATGGGAGCCTGCTGGGGCCATTTATGACGATGCATTCCGATTTTCGGGACATTGGAACAAGTGTGAGAAGAGTATGGGTATGCCCAGGCATCCGCTGAGCCACAATATCCCTAGCAATCTAGACACCATAAGGACGTGCTGATGGAAGACTCAACAAACCTCAAGGTAAAATGTGCCACGGCCACGGCCTAGGTGCTCAAGTTGTTCTGGCTCGGTGTGAGGGGGTTACCTAAGGTGAGCGCATTCAGGTACCTTACCTTAGGTACGACCTGAGGTGAGCCCAGGTACAGGGGTCGGTCGCATTTGCCTCTTGCCTCGAGATGGCAGGGGCCGGGAGAAGGGGAGGAGGGGTCATGAAAAGTGAGTTGAGGTGAGGGCAGGTACGAAGAATAAGGTACGTGCCTGTTTTTTGACCATTAGGTTCTATTGCTCCTTCCGAGTCCTTGACGTGCCTACCTTATTACCGAATGCCACGAATAAGTGACTTTCAGGGTGGCAGGCGCAGGCAGATGGGGATCCATCCATCCCTCCAGGTCCAATGGAGACGGGAGGTGAGAGGGCAGAGGGTACCTTAAGGCAAACACAATGGCACGGCAAAGCTGCACCGGTGCTATCCGTACCTTATACTGGACCCCTTTACAGTGAGAGGTAGAGAGTGGAGTGTTTGGCTGTTAGTAGACCTGGGCACCTGGACACCTGGGCACCTGAGCACCTCCTCCACCAGGTTTCGTCCCAAGTGCCAAAACCTCCTTCGACCACCTGCACCATCTCTCTACCTTACCTTTACACGCCCTGACAATTCGCTGCCGAAATTCGCCCATCACATTAATCTCTCACTCCGCATCGAATATTGCATCACTCTTCCGTCCAAACACAAACCATCATATCCCCTTCGCCTAGCCCGTCTCTGATTGCCAATCTTGTCGCAACAAGCCAGCCGACCACTGTCAGCGCTCTCTAGCGCAGCCCGATTGGAGCCCACCCCACGGATACTCCTGTCCCATCTCCCACCACCATCTGACTGGACCATCGACTGCGACCGAGACCGACCACCGACCGACCGACCTGACTTGACTTGACCACCCTCGACAACACCATTCCCCTCTTCACCCTGTGTGACGTACAAGAACGAAAGCAACGCCGACGCCGACGAATACAATCTCAGCCTTCCCGCGTCAAACATCGCAACAGCTACTAGTGTGCACAATACTGCCTATCGTACATCCAAATTCTCTCCAACCGGTGAAGCACCCTACCTACGACAGCTCCTCCCTTCTTCTTTCTGTGGACCGAATCATCGCCGTCTGTTCATGCAAACATCACCCACGACACACCATCAATAGCCTTCACATCTATTATCGGATGCGCCTCGCATCATCCTGTTGCTATGGCACTCCAGTACTCGGCAGAGGTCCTCATTCACCTGCGAGAATCACCATTATGCATCAAACCATCTGCTTTACCGCCCGCTGAAGAATGGATGGGGTATGCCGTCACCACAACTGTTGCATATAACTGGCTTTTTTTCTAACTCTTCTCCCCAGACCACCTCCCGATAACAATCGAACTCAGGGCAACGTCGCCAAAACTCCTGCTGACAGAAGAAGTCACGACAATCCCTTGCTTGACCAGACAAATCGTCGCCCTGGTGTTGACCGCCACGTCTCGCGAAACAGCGCCAGTGTGTCCCCACCTCTTTGCCTCCTCATTTCCCTAGCCCTTTCCATAATGGTAGCTGACCCAAACATCAATTGCAGATCCTGAAGACATTATTCTTGGACCTCCTCGAACTGCTTTTGCCTCTGCGACTCTGCGCAACGGCAAGCCTTTTGACAACGACAAGGGCCTCAAGGACGCTGACTCGCCCAGCCGCTTCAACTTCCGCAATCGCAATGGTGACACCCCCGAAGGCGACCGCTTCCGCGATTCAAGGAACACAAATTTTGGTCGTCGTCGCGGCGACGGTGATCCGCAGGACCAGGAGGGATGGAGTACCGTGAAGCCGCGCAAGAGCTTCGGCCACGAGGGCGCCGAGCGCTTCCAAGGTCGTATGGGCGCTGGTGGTGGCGATAGGCTCCCTAACGAACGTCGTCCCCGTGATCGCGAGGATCGTGAGGGTCCCAGAGATCGTGCCCACCGCAACTTTGACCATCATGACAAGGAGCACGACGACGAAGAAGCTGAACCACGACCCCGGAATGGTCTTAGCAGGGGCAAGTCGGAGCCCTGGTTCAAGAATGACAACAGCACCGCCAGTAACAACACCAATAGTGCCAGCACTCCCGAGAAGCCTCCAATGACAGCTCGCGAGCGCATTGACAGGGCCAAGAGCTGGAGAGACCGAAACAGGGAGGCTGAGCCTGTCGAAGAAAAGAGCAGTGGCAGAAACTATGAGCGTCGCTGGGAGCGCGGCGAACACAGACAGGAGCGAGAGCCCGAATGGTTCGACGAACCCGCCGGGGAGAAGGCAGGAGGCCATACGGAAGAGGATTTCAAGAAGTTCATGGAAAGCATGAAGGCAAGTCGCAACGGTCCTGCCGAGGACACAGCGCCCGCTGTCGCAGTCGAGGCTGCAATCAAAGCCGAGCAGCCAGCTGTTGCTTCTGCACCTGCTGTTGAGATTGGTCCCGACCAATTCTTCCTCAAGTTCGCTTCTACTGCTGGCTTAGATGTCAGCTCCCCGAGTGAGCCTAAAAGAGAGACTCCTTCCAAATCCAAGACCGGCGGTGGCAAGTCCTCTCGATTCACGTCATTCTTCAATGCTCCCCAGGATGACCCCAACCGACGACTGCAGACAGAGCCCTCGACGCCAATGGCTGGACCTCCCATCGGTGGTCTTGACTTGTCTGCGCCGCCGGCTCCCGATACCGAGAAGCAAGCTTTCCAAGCCCTGCTCATGAAGCTGCAGCGTTCAAATCTTCAATCAGCCACGCCGCCCGCCTCGCAACCTTTCCAGGAACCCCCTCTACCTACCCGTGAGCATGCGCCTTCAGGCTCTGTCGCGTCTCCCGAACCGTTCCAGCAATACGGTGGCGAGCGCAGAGAGGACCCCCGTCCTCGCATACCTCAGGGATCGATGTCCATGTCAGATATCCTTGCCCCGCGCCCCACGATGCCACACCAGCAGCAACCTGCTCCTCGTCAAGACCAACTACTCCAAGAGCTGGTTGGTCAGCGTCACCAGGCGTCCAGTCAGGGCTCCGGCCGAATGGAGCCAAACCAAGGGCGCAACATGAGCAACACCGAGTTCTTAATGAACTTGATGAGAAACCAACCCGAACCCCCGCGGACTGAGCAACTACTCATGCGCATGCCGCAACCTCAGCGTGCAGCTCAAATTCCGCATGCTCCAGACCGTGAGCTCGACTTCCCACAGGGAATCCCCCAGGGCGGCCGTGGTTCCCAACGGCAGATGCGTGGCCAGGGCCCGCCTGGCTTCATGGATGAGGCCTTCCACCACCCAGAGCCAGAACCGCGCATGCAGCCTACGCAGATCCTGCAGCGTCCGCCCCCGCCTCCCGGTTTGGATCAAATGAACCCAAACTGGATTCAGGGCGGCGGTCCCATCCCTCCTCAACAGAGATCCATCATTCCTCCACCTGGTCTGGCTGGTGGTCCCGGTCGCAATCACCCAATGGCCGCTATGTTCCCCCCGAACTTCCCTCCCGGAGCGTTCCCTCCTTCCGAGGCCATGGCAGGCCCCCCGCCACGCAACATGCCTCCTCCTCCTGGCTTCTTCGGTGGCCCCCCTCCCGGATTCATCCCTCCTCCCGGAATGCCTGGCTTCCCTGGTCCGGCTGGGCCCGATGGTCATGGCTTCCCCTTTGACGGACGCATGCCTCCCGGAGCCGCTCAGGCGTTCCGAAGACAGTAAATATCTAGCATCACGGAACTACTATCGACCTCGCCATAGAGGTCATACTGTCGCAGCATATCAATCGCTGCATCTACTCTGTTTGAGTCTCATCACCAAATGCTCAGATGTGTGTCCTTTTCGGACATGATATGAAACCTTATAACCCTAAATGTCGGTATAACGACGTCTTGCTTGTCGGATTTGCTGAACTAGCACCCAACCTCTCATCCTCGATCACTAGTTTTCTCCTCACACAAGGGAGAGACTCGGTCTATCAGTTGCGCACGTTTGAAGCGCCGCCTCAACTACGCCCATGAGGCCACATCTTGCTGCAATACGTTTGCCTCCCTCACAGGCAGAGGGAACCCACAACTTAGCAAAAATCTTCGAGTACCAGGCTGACAAGGGTCCTGTGTCCTTTGATAAGGCGACGGGCTGTACTACGTAGGCGGTGGCGAAATGAAAAACAGAAAACAGGATTGGCGAGTTCTTGCGGGGGACGCTGGGATAGGATATATCCCCAATGCTACCTAAGTCTACTGCGGTAGACATGAATGAAATGAAATGGACGTTGATTTCCTGGCTTCAACAAAGGGGCTGCGCACCTTTGATCATGGTGACAGTGACTGCGATGTTTGTTATTCACACCTACGGTTGATTTTTGACCTTGACACGTGAACAGTCATTACTGTTAGGCATTGGCAGAGGCAAGCCTCGTCAAGGTGGTGCGCAAATAACATCATCACGCTAGCAATGTTTTCTCTCCGCCGCCGACGTCTTTGTCCACATAGTTTGGAATTATTGTTGCTGATGGTGTTTGTTTATTTGGTTCCACACAAGATCCAGAGAATATTTACAAACAGATCATCCAATTAGGGAGCCAGCCTCCTACTACTACCACTACTACTACTATCACTACTACTACTATCACTACTACTACTATCACTACTACTACTACTACAACCACCACCGCGACTCCTTTACTCCTTGACTCATCCTCCCAACCTCCTATGCCAAATCAACGAATGAACATAGAAAAGAGGCAGCGAAGAACGGCCAGTGTTCCCGCACACATCTATAGGAATTTGTTGAAACCAGGTACCCCTCCCGCCTCCATGTTTCAACAAAACCGAACGCCACGCTAGCAGCAGAGAGTGTAAGAAGAGGGGTGATATTTTGGGAGAGAAAAGACGTCCTTCTTAGATGCAGGTGTTCCTAATCCTCCCTTCCCTCTTTTTTTCTCTTCCTCTTTCAGACTCAGTGCTTATCCTTAATGCTTGTCCTTGTCCTTGTGGCTCTTCTTCATACCCAAAAAGTTGCGCTTCTTCTTATCCTTCTCCAGCTTATGTGGCTTGCCGCCGTCTGACGGAGCTGGCGACGCGCCGCTGCCATTCGACACGGGTGGAAGCGGGGCGTTGAGGCTCATGTTGCTCATCTGAGCCGTAGGCGGCGCGACGGGACGCCCGGGGAGCCCACCTGGCGCGGGTGCTCTGCGTGGTCCACCCGCCGGTGAAGCTGTGCCTGGCGGTGCCATGCCGGGGGCAGGGCGTTGTGCCACAGGGTTGGGCGGGGGAGCAGGTCTCTCGTAGACCCATGCCGGGGCGCCGGGCGTTGGTCGCTCCATGGGTAGGTCGAGTGTGCGTTTGTCTTTGCCCAGGTCGCCCACCTGGCGTACATAGAGTTGTGGTGTGAGCATGTGACTGGTAACTAGGAATATGTCCTTGCCTTGGCGGGCAGAAACCTCGTAGCAAGCACGACTCTCACTGTATGTAGCGCCGCCGGCCATAAACACGATGTAGCGCTGCCGGTTTTCTGGTGGCCGTCGGCCAGCTGCCGCCCAATTTGGCCTGCCGGCGCGCAATGAACCTTGTTGTGATGCCAAGAGATCTTCATTGGGGTCCGCTGGTGGCTTCACGTAGGGAAACGTGGTTTGATCGAGAGTACCTTTGCTGAGTTCGTCGAGCATCGTTTGCATGGCCGTCTCGAACCGGGAAAGTGAGTACTCCTCGCTGATCTCTGCTGGTTTGGTATTCTTCTGGAATAGGGGCGGTTGGGGAGGTCGCACGTCTTTCAGGCCAGCGCGAACTGGGTGTCCGCCCAGCATCTCGAGATTAACTATTACCTCTCCATCTCTTTGTGGCAGGCCGGAATGTGCGAGCAACCGATTGATGTCTTCCATCACAACGCCATCTCTATACAACACGTACAGAATGATTAGGCGCAGTCTGTCCGAGGGGGTGATGGCGTCGTCATCCAAAAGCCGCACGACTTGATCCAATATGTTTTTGGGCTTCCTAAAGTCCTCATCCAATCCTGTCGCGAGACTCTGCTCGACAGAAGCAATGTCTGGTAGTTTGTGGTGCTGGAATATATTCATGGCTTCTTGTGCCAGGTTCAAATGTAGTGAGTATGCCTCCTTCATTTCTTGGAATTGTGGCAGGCCAGCCAGCATGTCTCTGATGGCGTTCAAGCTTGTCGTATCCTGCTCCTCGTTGACGAAGTGAGGGTTCGCCTCCAAGAACTTTCGGAAGTCTCCCATGAGTTTATCGATAGTGTCTTTCATGTGCCGGTGTCGGTTATCGACCCAGACCGGATCCTTGTCTGATAGCTCCATGTCCTTCTCCTCTGCTTGCGGGGTGCCCTCGTTGGTGACCATATGATACGTCACCTTGTCACCGTCTTGTATCGGGAGAAGATCGTGCGCCATAGCTTGGTATGTAAACTCGTGCACCAGAGGCGCCAAGATATCCATTGATCTGTCCGTGATGACGAGGGTCCCCACGGGTCGCGACGACTGCGGTGGAAAGTTCGGGTTCCATTGCGCATATTCGTCCAACTCTTCCTGCACGAAACGGGCCAGATGGGAAGCAAGCACGGCGGCTTCATGGAGAGGGTTCCTCGGTCTGTAGTATCGAACTTTCGGGTATTCGCCCAACGTAACGCATACGCCAGTGATCTGACCTGCTTGTCAGCAAGGTGAAGTGTGTAGCCTTCCACTCGTCTCCCACTTACCTTTTGTGCTAGAATCTTCATGTGCCTCGCCACTAAGCCGTTGCACGCGGGGTGGTACAGAATCGGAAAGCTCCACGGATCTTTGAACGTGACCAAATGCGACTCTCGAGGGAAGAAGTCAATCGACAAGGTTTCGAAACCCGCGATGCGTTGCTTGGCCGGCGGGCAACCGTCAATCATGCGACGAATCCTCGGTTCCAAAACACCAGTCCACACCAGGTAGGCTTCCTTGTATCTGCGGCGCTCAAAGTCGTTGACGAGGATCTCTACAATGTTCTCTTTTGGGGACAGAATGTAGATGGCGTCCATTTCAGGGTTCATGTCTCGTTTCTGCTCGATTCGCTCAATGTCTGGAAGGAGGTCAGGAGTTGAACCGTTGCAAGGAGGAGATGTGGTCGCAGGACATACTGGCGATGTTGTGGTTGAGGATATCATCTTCCTTGACAACATTGTCTATGATTTTCTTGGAGTCTTCGTCGAGCACTAGGACTTTCCACTGGGGCAATTATCGTGGTTAGCTTGGCTCGCCCGCAGGAAGACCGTCAGGTGTTGGGTGGATCTCACGTCGCCTCTTGTAATGTTCTTGATTGTGTCGATAATGACTGTTGAAACCTGTCAGTATCGAGAGCGGAGCAAGCTGGGATATTATGGTAGCCTCTCCAGCGGTGAGGGAGCTCACCATCATGCTGCTCCTGAAGCGTCGAGACACCCATCGTGGCAAGTTGCCGCGTGGGCAGCGACCAACAGGCAACACGTCGCGGGACGAAGGCGAGGGTTGGTGCTACGAGCCGAAAGCTCGTCGGACGACAACTTTGACCGGGCGACGACGATGGCCGGGTGCGCCTGTGTAGATTGGGGTGCGACAGATAGCGTGGCGTCGATCAAGGAGAGAGGCGGACAAGGCTGGAGGGATGCGCGTTGTCGTGGTCTGCGGATCGGGACCTCAGGTACTGTTTAATGAGAGGTGCAATTTAGGAACCACGCTGTAGGTATGCTCAGCTGTAAAGCCACTCGCGTTGTCTTGGGGTTCGTCTTTCTTTTGACCTGGCGGGGTTTCAAGATGGAGGAAGAGCCGGTCGCAGTTGTGGGACTTTCAATGCTCCGAACCTCCAAACCGGAGCTTGGAGAGGGGGGAAAGAGCAAGACAAGGTCTGGCAAGGTACGTTCCTATGCGGTCAGACAGCTTTGTGGTGGTGGTGGTGGTGGGTGAGGTGATTGGGAGTAGTTGAGATCGGGTTGGTCGCGTTCCGCGTTCGCGCACTTCATCAGTTCATGTAGCTGTAGGTATTCTGCAATGGCAAACATGGACAGTCAGGGCTGTCTAGGCTATCGTTGAGTTGAGAGAAGAAGAAGAAGACGACAATGACCTGATGCGACTGCAAGTCAGGTCGGTCGGTGGACAATGCAGAGGTAGGAGTGCCGTTCTAGTTCCAGTTCCGTTCCACTGCGCAGCGCACCGCTACTTTCCTCAGGACTCCCGCCCGCGCTTCAAGTTCAGGCCCAGGAGGGGGGGTGGCGGGGCCCGGGCAGGCAATAGAGGACTGGGCAGGCTTGCCTCCATGGATTGGTACTGGCCTGGCCCCTCGCCCAATACGCCCTTGGGTTAAGGAACCTTATGCAATGCGCATCCTGGTGAGGATAGGTACCTAGTAGGATAAGGGACCTTGGTCAGGTACCTTAGCATCTTACGGATACCTAGTGCAGCGGCATTTCCCCACTTTCGGCCCCCAAAAGAGCGACGAATGAGGTCACCGCCTTCTAGACTTGCACTTGCACCTCACAACGGCGGCGCTTTTGAAGAAGCGACGACGGGAGATATTCTCGTAGCCTCCCCATCGCAAGGATGATGGTTGTTTTCTCAAGACAGTCCCTTGTGCATTTCAAAGGCGATCTGTTACCCGTCTCTTCGTCAGTTTTGGTCGAGTGAATTGTCAAGTCATTGGCTTTTATGTTGCTCTATTTCGTTCACAACAGATACTATCTACCATAAGGTAGGTTGGTCAAGATTGCTACCTTCCAATTAGACTCGAGCAAAGGCGTCTTCACTTGATCAAGATACAAGACCTTCTTACTGAATCCAAATTCGACGGCGGTAACCTCAACACCACGTCGTGGGTGCGCCTTCTTTGGGTATCTCATCGCTTCTTCGCTGCCTATAAACCGGTCCCCAGGTATTTGTCAACGTCCTCGCTGCCGTAAAACATCTGTCGCAACCTCTCGGCCTTTTTCTTGTCTTCCTCTGCCCTCTTCCGGCACTTCTTCGCGTCCAACGTTTGCGGCTTCTTCTTTTCGATCTTGCCCTGAATACCTTTTGGTACCTTCAACCCCAGACCGAATTTGTCCTCCTTCGGCCGAGTCTTCAAGGGATACTGCATGCCTTGCTCCTCGACACCGAGTCCCTTCCGTGAATCAGGGTCCCAGCCATGTGATGAAAGATAAGTCAGGCCCATACGTGACCGATCTAGTGATGAGGGGGGATGTGAGTGTGTAAGGCAGACTTGATGAGCAATGGAAGACTCGTGCTTCTGTCTACTTGTCGTGGGCTTATCGTCGCTATCGTCGGCCTCTCTTACGATATCATCTTTATCCACGGGCAGCTCGCACACGGCGCACACTTGTCCAGCGTGCTTTTCGGCTTCTGCTTTCTTCTTATCGCCAAGCACGAGGCTGAGGTAAAAGTCGCCTACAGAAGCGCCGGATTTGGTTTTCTTGACTGCCTGGGGCGTGCCTAGGCTTGCATCTGATGCCTTGACGAACTGGATGGGCTTGCGTGGGATGCCTGCGCCAAAGGGTCGTTGATAATGAAGCGGCACATCCTCTTCTTCGCCACATTCCTCGTCTTCTTCCCCCCGTCTCTGCATTTCCGCCGCCCTTGCTCAGTGTTGTTTGTGCACACGTGGAAACACCTCGTCCTTAGCAAGGGCACCTGTGAAGGAGGAGCCCAAACTGTGTCGCCGTTCGCTGGTTTTAGAATTGGGTGAGACGAAGGGGCAGAAAGATGGAGAAAGGGTTGATGAAGGAGTTCCACTCCCGCGACCAGGGTGCCAACCATATTATGTCAGCAATGGCCGCCACACGGTGGCCTTATACTAGTACCCTGCAAACTCTGCGATTAATGCCCCTGGAAAGCCAACGCCGCTTGCCGGCAGAGTGGGACCGCCCCTGTCATCGCAATTCGGAAATCCCCTGGTGGCACATCAGCTTCCCTCTCTTTTCTAGAAGGCAAGCTGGCGGCCTCATCCCACACCTCACAAGTAGACACACAAGCGACCGCACATTCTAGCCTGCTTCCTCCACGAGCTTGTCCACGATTTTACACCGAGCCCGAACCGCCTACACATACACCTACGAATCGTTCCACCCCAGTATGCCCGACAGTCGCCGATAGACACACCCCTTTGCCAGCTTAGCCTAGTCCCTCGTCCACAATGCCTCTCGATTACTTTGGCTACATCGCCGAAGTCGGTCTCCCGACATATGTGACGGACAATTGGTGGTTCATACTCAAGACCGCCGCGGCGGTAGCTGTTCTCGTTTTTATCAAGCTATGGAGCGCCGGGGCCTCCAACACGGCTGAGCGGGACATGCACGGGAGGGTGGTCATGATAACAGGCGGGACGTCAGGCATAGGAGCCGCGACTGTGCTGGAGCTGGGCCGCCGCGGCGCACAAATCATCCTCCTCACGCACTCGCCCGTGTCGGACCCCTTCTTGGTCGAGTACATTGGCGACCTGCGCGCCCGGACCGGCAACGAGCTCATCTACGCCGAGCACGTGGACCTCTCTTCCCTGCACAGCATCCGAAAGTTCGCGACAAAGTGGATTGACAACTCCCCGCCGCGCCGGCTTGACATGATCATCCTCGCCGCCGCCACCATCACCCCGGCGTCGGCGAAGAGGAAGCAGACGGACGAGGGCATCGAGGAGACATGGATGGTCAACTATCTCGCCAACTTCCACCTTCTCTCCATTCTCAGCCCCGCCATCAAGGCCCAGCCCTGGGACCGCGACGTGCGCATCATCTTCGCGTCCTGTTCCTCCTACATTGGCTCCCCGTCTCTCAAGGAACCCCTGGACAAGAAGACCTGGTCGCCGGGCAGGGCGTACAAGCGGAGCAAACTGGCGCTTATGGTCTTTGGCCAGGCCTTCCAGAAGCACCTCGACAACTATAAGCGGCCCGACCAGCTGCCCATGAACTCGCGCGTCTTCTTCGTCGATCCAGGCTTTAGCCGCACGCCCGGCATGCGGCGCTGGCTCTCGCGGGGCTCACTGCTGGGTCTGTTCGCCTATATCGCCGCCTACCCGCTGCCGTGGCTGTTCCTCAAGAGCCACGAGCAGGGCGCGCAGGCCATCTTGTTCGCAGCCATGGAACCCAGTCTCGTGCGCGCGGGTGCCGGAAAGTTGATCAAGGAATGCCGGATCGTGGACTTTGCGCGGACGGAGATTGAGGACGACGAGGTGGCCAAGAAGCTGTGGGAAGAGAGCGATAAGCTCATTGAGACGACCGAAAAGGAGCAGGCCGCTCTCAGGGCTTTGCAGAAGAAGGTGGAAGAGGAAATGGTCAAGGAGGCCAAGGAGGCGGAGAAGGTGAAGGAGGTTGAGTCCCTGGTCGAGGCTATCAAGAAGGGCAAGGAGGCGCAAAAGTCAAAGGGCAAGAAGAAATCCAAAAAGGAGACATAAAGAGGCTTTCAGAGGCCATAAATGCTACAGACCACCTATTCAACGAGAACCAAGTGTCTAATTTGGTCGCCGTGAAACTGCGACAGCTCCCTCGTGCGCTTGTCCTTATGCCTCGGCTGCAGCTCTACAACTGGGGCATTCAAATGTCTTGAACAGTAGCTCAATAGTCCGGGGCCCGCCCCCCCACCTTTGCCGTCCAAGTGCCGTGGCTCGGGTGCGATTAGCCCAAACCAGCCGGGATGTGTGGAATCCTTCCCCGCAAGAAACCAGCATGACGACAGAATCTCGCAAACCTCCGCATTGTGAGGTACTCCAGCGTTACAGCAAAGCTGCAAAGATTCTCCCTTTTAAACCATCAACATACTTGGGCTGAACTGCGAACAATGTCCAAAACCACGGCGGCATCAGGCATGACGAATCACACCGCAACAACCGCACCATCACAACCTCAGCCTCCAATACGGCTCCAGAGCGCCTGGGAACGGCACGCCGCCGCCAACGAGACGGCAATGGCACAGCAGTATCAACAGCAGCAGCACAACTCGTCAATCCGGCACCCCGTCTTCTTCACAGAGAAGCTGCGGCGGCCGCCGCTGACGCTGGCACCCGGTATGGGCCTCAGTCCTGTGGCGCACGGCTACGTCTACCAGGACGGGCGGAGGAGGCTGGCCGACGGGAATTCTGCGCCGAAGCTGTGATGAGAAGCAAGAGTGCTTTTTAATTCAAAACCCAGAAAGCTCGAGTAATGTGTTCGCGGAGGCAGCGGTGTTTATTCGCTTTCGAGAGGCGGCCAGTTCTCAAACCTGAAAGCGGTGGCAGGTGTGCCCAATGGCGTTTTCGGCGTTTTCGGCCATTTCCTTGACTATAATTGCCTGTTCCAAATCACGGACATGATGAATCGAGGACTATAAGCTTCGTGTGCAAAATTTTGATAGGCGAGGAGGGGAAGGAAAGGAGACAATAGGCCTACTACTTTGGCTCTTTGCTTAGGATTCAACGCCTTAACCCTACAGCGAGCATTAATTTTCACTGGATTTTTAATTCTGGAGACTTGAGCCACTTGGCCATTAATTACCCGCCCTAAGGTTCGGGTGGTTGGTTGAATCGGTGGCACAAGCAGCGACGGAACGAAACCTGAAGGTTTTGAGGACATAAACAGAGCTGCAGCGGGAGGAAGCTCAAGAGGGAAGCGGCGACGCGGGTCGATGAGCATCGTGAGCAAGCTGCCACCCGGCTATCCCGCTCATTTTTTGACGGAAAGGGACATTATACGTAGCAGTGACACAAGTCTGATTTTGACGGCCCAAGAGATCGTTGTAATGACTAGCGACAGAGGTTACGCAGTTCTCAAGCCAGGTTTCTGTACTATATAGATAATCGTTGTTGCTTAATTCATTCCCTTGAGCTGGGGACGGCTTTAGGTATATCCCACGGCTGAACTTTGGTAGTACTAGAAGCTGTCATTGACGGCATGATGTTGCTGCTCAACTAATTTCGCATTAGGCCGAGGTCTATATCCTACTTATTTGTGTATCATTCGTTTTGCCCTTTAGTCGTGGGACAGTGGATCGCTATGTAGGCTAAAAGAGGTAAACCTCTGTACCCAATAGATATGATTCTACTCTCATATTCTAGCGAAGTTTGAAGCACCCCAGTTCACGAGGAAAGGCTGGAACGAGTTAAACAATTTTACTTGTATTTCCATGTGGTTCCTGAACCCACAAGTAACAGTTTAGGAGATGTGTGGTTGAGTATAAACCCATCGAGGGTTGTTCATAACGAAACCAAAAGCCTCCGTTGTTTTGCTTTCCAAAAAGTTGAGTTTCCCGTTCGCCATTCAAACCAGCCATTGCCCAAGCTGACGGTAGCAATCTACACCATCGAAAAAAAAAACCGACAATCGCGTTCGTGTGTACAGACTCCGTGCCCGCTACACGAAGGCAATTCAAACCCAAACTCAAAATCCAACATCGGGTGAAACACCATGTTCAGGCTCGGTATTTTCTTCAGTTCTTCACCGCGATCACAATCGCGAGAACGATGAGCACCACGACTAGCGTAAGGAGCGCCATGAGCTTGACATTCTTCCACCACATCTTCCTCTTCAGGCCGCGGCTGCGGACGCGGAACTCGCGGGCGCTACCGCCGAGACGGTCAGTCTTGTCGACGAGCAGATCAATGCGCTCGCCCCTCTCGAGCAAACCCTCGATATTGCGCGTCATAATGCCCCTGACGTCGTCAATCTCGCGCTGGACGTTGGAGATGGCATCGTCCTTGCCGCCGCTCGTGGTGCCGTAGTCAACCATGAATTTCTTGAGCTGGCCATTGTAGCTGGCAGCGCCGTAGTTGGGGAGTTCGGCATAGTCGGTGGTCTCGGCGGGGAACTGCTCGAGGAAGCGGCGTCGGATCTCAAAGAGAAAGCCAAAGGGGATGCGGCGACCCAGCGAGGCGTCGGCGATGACGAGGAAGGTGAGGCCGCCGGCGGATGGGTGGTCCGGGTGATCGGAAGGCGCCTCTGCGATGTAGTGAATGTGGTGCGAGCCGTGGGTGTAGGTGAGCTTCTGGGGGGTGTTGTGCTCGATCTTGGGCAGGATGACAGAGGCGAGGGAGGAGGTTTGCGACGAGGCCGATGTCGTGCATTCGCTGAGGATGGTGGTGTTGTGCGCTATGCACGAGCTGTAGGACGGCGACGTGTCAGTTGCGTCTGCAGTGGGGTGAGAGTGAGACGGGAATGTCATTGTAGTCTTCTTACAAGAGCAACGGGGTAATGGGCGTCGATGAGGAAGCCATGATGATGGGTATTGGGTTGTGTAAAGGATCCAAGGAGCCTATCTTGGGATTCTTTTGATTCTTTTCGACAACGCCCGCAGGTGGATAGGTAACGATATTCGAGATGCGACGGCGGGTTGAGTAAGAGTACGTAGGTAGGTAGCCAGATCGGAAGTCGGCGTGATGGGCGCTGTCGCAGAATGCAGCGTGGGAACCTGGGGACCTGGATGCGTGATGACGACGTGGACGGTGCAATCGGAGGCAAAGGCGCTTGGCCGGAGTGGAGCGACCCACGCCCGTCTGCCCAGGACGAATCAGGGGCCATGGCGATAAGGATGCAGACCTCTTATCGGCTCCCAAAATTTCCCAGTCCCTTAAAAAGTAAGGTAACCTCCGCGCTCTCCCAAAGCACCAGTGCATGACTACGGAAGGTGGGTAAATCAGCCAACTTTGCCATTGACACGAACAGACATGTTCTTTGCATGCTGTTAGCCATGGTTTGTTGCGCAGAAAGCCACCCATCATGAGACCAGTTTTGCGAGCCACGAAGCTCTGCGCGGCGGCGACACGCCTTGCGCCGGGCCATGGCTTTGCAACATCCTCCCCGGCCGCCTACCAGGTACGCAGCAGCTTCTCCATTCCGCTTCAAAATCATGGACACATTCTGACCATTACATGTGATAGGCGACACGCTCGAGAGATTCTACCAAATACTCACCCCCCGACCGCGCAAAATCCAAATACGATGTCTTCAGGACAATGATTCTCACTCAGTTCAACGTCGTCATCGAGAACATGGGGCGATGGGCAGAGACGAACACCGAGTACCGTAACTTTGGCATTCGGAGCGAGTATGGTCTCAACAATGAGATTAGTCTCTTCCGCGATACCATACAGAAAGCGATACAGATGGCCAACAAGGGCGCTACGTTGCGCAAGGAGAACCCGTTATTCTGGTCCCTACGAAACGCCTTCATCCGTGGCGACGTCAAGGGCCTGACGTCGGAGCTGCGTTATTCGTTCCAGAGCTTTATGTTGCGGTCAAAACTATCAAACTCGACGACGCGGCAGAAGAAGTTGGCTGATTTGCGGTTTCCAATGGAGTGGTTCCCTGCCACACGAGCCATGCAGCGCACAATTCACCTGCACGTCGGACCGACAAACTCTGGAAAGACTTATAGGGCGTTACAGGCACTAATGAACTCCAAATCCGGCATATATGGAGGGCCCCTTCGTCTCCTGGCCCACGAGATATACTCTCGATTCCAGGCCAAGGGGAAGGCCTGCGCCATGATCACGGGCGAGGAGCAGCGCATACCAGATGCGGATAACTACTTCATCAGCTGCACCGTTGAGATGACGCCTCTAAACCGAATGGTTGATGTGGCAGTTATAGACGAGATCCAGATGATCGGCCACAATGAGCGAGGGTGGGCGTGGACACAGGCTTTCCTTGGCGTCATGGCGAAGGAGGTTCACCTTTGTGGTGAAGAGCGGGTCGTCGACCTCATCAAGTCAATTTGCGCGAGCATCGGCGACAAGTGCATTGTCCACAGGTACCAAAGGCTGAGTCCATTGCAAACGATGAAGAAGAGTCTTGGCAACAATCTCGCCAACCTGGAAAAGGGCGACGCCGTTGTGGCATTCACGCGCGTCAACCTGCACGGTCTAAAGAATGCCATCGAAGAGAAAACCGGCCGTCGGTGCGCAATCGTCTACGGTTCGCTGCCACCCGAGACTCGAGCGCAACAAGCGGCTCTGTTCAACGATCCCGACAATGATTACGATTTCTTGGTTGCTAGTGATGCCATCGGCATGGGCCTGAACTTGGAGATCAAGCGCGTCATCTTCGAAACTTCGACGAAGCACGACGGCACTCAACATCGTATCCTGACAACGTCCGAGGTCAAGCAGATTGGCGGCAGAGCAGGAAGATATAAGACAGCTCGACAGGCGGCTACTACAGAAACTGATGGCAATGACCATGTCGAGGAGAAGAAGATGGGCTACGTCACGACACTCGCCGATGAAGATTTACCCGCGATTGCGAAGGCGTTCAATACCGACGCTGAGCCGCTCGAGGCTGCAGCCATCCAGGCACCATCGTTCATCATCGAACAGTTCGCCGAATACTTCCCTCCAGATACGCCCCTCAGCTTCATCCTCCTGCGATTGCGCGAACTCGCACCCGTCTCGGAGCGCTTTACGGTCTATGTTCCAGAAATCAGCATCCAGATCGCAGACACTATTCAGGAGTTCCCCATGACGATCCAAGACCGCATCACCCTTCTCCACGCCCCGATTACGCTTCGGCAGGCTGGGCATACGGAGATTGCAAGGGCCATTGCCAAGTGCATCTCCACGAGGAGCGACGGTGCCCTGTACGATATTCAGCCCATCCAGTTGGAGCTGCTTGACGCCACGCTTGAAGACTTCAACAACCAGGGTAGGCGATACCTGCACGCTATCGAGTCCCTGCACGCGGCCCTCACCCTTTATCTGTGGGTGAGCTACCGCTTCCCCCACATATTTACGAGCCAGGCGCTGGCGTTCCACGTCAAGGACGCCGTCGAGGAGAAGATTGAGTTCTACCTCGAGAACAACGCCGTCTTCGACCCCGATGTACACGGCAAGATCCGCGAAAAACGACGCAAGGCGGCGCTTGCGAAGGAAATGGAGGTGGAGCTGCTCAAGCTCCAAGAAGACGAAAGGAATGCAGAGGAGCTGGCTAGTCGTACGCCTTCTGACGACGACTCTGTCGATGACGACCAGAGCTCTGCGGGGCTTGAGGAGCCTCTGGTGGCGGATGAGAGAGACTATGAAGGGCTGGAAGAGAAGCCCAGACATGAGTCTGTCGCTTAGCTGCGACAGTCTCGGGTTGAAGACTGACTAGAAGAAGCCTTTGAGGCTTTGTCGGATGTTAAAAAAAAAAATTGGATCCTAGTTGCATCTAGTTGTACAATAGCCTGGAGGCATAGGAATAGTCGGGCACATCGCAAGGCGCGAGAACGCATAGGGAGCCTAGGTCGGGGGCATGTATACTATAACACGGACATCACAAAAGGAGTAGGGACAGGGTACACTCCAGACGGTATCGCAAGGTTCAAGATAGAGATTATAGGATAAAAAAAAACCTCTCACGTCCTATCAAGAGGACTGAAAATGTTACATGCGGCAAAAACCATGGATAAGGTGACGGGATGATGAGGTCTTCTGGGGCTGAGGTCCACGGGTGTCGGTTTACCCCAAGCTCTAACGAGCACCCCGCATTTATTTCAGGCTCACCTCCGGGACCCCTACCGGTTACCTCACCGACCCCACCATGTTTCCCAGCGACTTTGGAGGGGCAAAGTGACATGGCAGCTTTACCTTGGCTTGCTGGCTTGCAACTCCAACTGGCGCGCGCCCTTCATCCTACATCACCTCACTCCGACTACCCACCTAGAAAAGCCAAGCAACGCTCTTCGAATTTCTGACACAACCCTCATCCCGCACAAATAGTACACAAGCAAACAAACAACAGAGCAAGACATCGAAAGATATGTCATTAAGCAACCCCGACCCCGCCGCCGCCGCCCCGGCCTTCATCCCCCTCGAGGCGAACCCAGAGCTCATGACCTCCCTCCTCCACAAGCTAGGCCTCTCGCCGGCGCTCCAGATCCACGACGTCTATTCCCTGACCGACCCCGACATGCTCTCCTTTGTCCCGCGCCCCGCCCTCGCCGTCCTGCTCGTCTTCCCCGTCAGCGCCGCCTACGAGAGCCACCGCCTCGCCGAGGACGCCCTGCTGGACGAGTACAAGGGCAAGGGTCCACAGGAGCCCGTCCTGTGGTTCCGGCAGACGATCCGCAATGCCTGCGGTCTCATGGGCTTGTTGCATGCCGTCGCTAATGGGCCTGCGAGGGAGTATATCCGTACGTTGTGCCCACCTTCTCCCCCTCCCCGCCCCCCAAACCCTCCGTTCTCTGTCCCAACATGACTTGGTCGAATTTTGCCATCATTTTCTAACGATGAGTGCCTCAAACACAACAGAGAAGCCTTCAGATCTCAACACCCTGATCGAGAACGCCGAAACCCTGGAACCCTCCTCCCGCGCCCAGCTCCTGGAGAAGACGCCCGCGCTCGCCACGGCGCACCGCGAGGCCGCGTCGCAGGGCGCGACCGAGGCGCCCGAGGCCTCGGACGACGTGGACCTTCACTACGTCTGCTTTGTGCGCGGGGACGACGGCACGCTGTGGGAGCTCGATGGGCGGCGCAAGGGGCCGCTGAACCGAGGGCAGCTCGATTCCGGGGAGGACGTGCTGAGCGAGAAGGCGCTCACATGGGGCCCGCGCAAGTTTCTTGAGAGGGAGGGCGCGGATTTGCGGTTTAGTGCTGTTGCGTTGGCTGGGTCTCTTGATTGAGAGGGCCGGTTATGGGGTTTCGTTACGTACGATGTTATCTTTTCTGAATGAAAAAGAACGTTTTTTGGCGTTTGGGTCAGGGGACTGACTGTAGCTATTTGAAACCAACACTGAGTACTGCAAGGAATAATCAGGGAAAAAGGTTCAGCTTTTGCTGTATTTGGAAATTGACTAGGGGGAAGGCTACTTGTTACATAGGTGCAACTCTAAGACCGTATTCACCACGGACTCCACAGTTAATCTACCGACTATTCTATCGACCATTTGACTTCCAAAGTTGCGCTGGCTGATCTTGCGACTCGGGCTTTCTCCATAATTGACCGGTAATTTTCCTCTCCTCGTCCCTCGCAGGGACGCAGGGGGTACTGTTCGGATCCTGAAGATCGAAGTCGAGCAGGGCGACATCCTTTCGAATACCCGACTTGTCATCAAAGCCTAGGTATTCGCAATGTCGGTATTAGTCTCGCAAGAAGTGATACCCAAAAGACAGCCTACTTACCGGTGGTTGCAACAATTTCTTTGAACTCGGTTGACGACTTCCTATGAGCCTGGGTACCCGTATCAGGACCACTGGCAAACTCAAAGTCCATGTGAAGAACTTCAGAAGGAATCGAGGCGAACTCCGTCTGTGATTTTCTGTGAGAACCGGTGACGGTGCCGTATGAAGTGGGTATGGCCTGTGTTCTTACAGCCGCTGATACGGATTGGGACTTGGCTTCGGCGGGCGGCAAGCTGTCCTCCGAGGCGAGATCCAGCCAAGTTCCCGGCATTTGCTCTCCGTAGTTATGATCATTGGGTGTCTCGGGTGTCCGTGCTTGCGAGACACGATCTCCAGTCAGGCTGATATACTTGCAAGGCGCACAGTCCTCGTTGTTGGGCGTGGCGGAAGGCTTGCCAACGGAAGAAGGGTAAGGTTTACTGCTGAGCGCAGGGTTCTTTCTTGTATCTTCGATGATGGGAGAGCCGTCGTGCTCAGTGAAGAAGGGGATCTAGCCCTGGTTGTTGCCAGCCTTTTGAGGCTGGTAAGAATCTTGGGAGTTTGACATAGTGTCCGGACGACAGCTGGATGGGAGAAATATAGTTGATTAATAGGCAGTTGTTTCGAGAGCCCAGCTAGGGCAAAATGGAGTTAGGAAAGCGTAGTCTAAGTTATCAGTTGAAGTTTTTCAGGAGCGAGACGTTCACTGGTTCTAATGGCAGTAGTTTTGGGCTAAAAAGTCGCGGGTGTGATATGAAGACGGAATGGTTGTGAATGGGTGAGGTTTGGTGTAGCCGTAGAAAGTTCTCCCAAAGCTTGGGTCCCTTCCTGTCGGGCTTAACTTGGATCACAGAAGGCTCGGGTTGCATTGCTCCTTGAGATTGATTCATAGACGTTGCGAAGAAGGTGCGCCCCCTTGTCAACGTCAGACACAAACCTTAATCAGTAGGTCATCACCACGAATCATGGTGGTGGAGCTGTGTTTCCCTCCTTTCTGTCGATTCAATCATGCGCGGGCTATGGCTCCGCTGGAATTTCTGCCCCTATCTAATTTGGCATGGTACTTATGTCGAAATTGTCAATCCAGCCATCCCATCGTCGCAATCGTCATAGGGCTCTGATGTTTATCTCAAAGCTAGCATACCTATAATGTCAGAACTTAGATACTCAAGAAATCGACGATTGTTCTAAGAAGTCTGCAGCCGGAATCTACGCGCTGTCATCAACCCCCGCCTGTTCGAGCTAGTCCCGCATGAAAGGGGCCCCCGTTAACGCTTCAAGTCTATCAACTCGTGGAACCTATCCTGATAAGACCCTGGGCAAAGCCCCAAGCCAATGACTAGTGGCATGAGGTGTATGAATCTGTAACCAATGTCCTCGCCGAGACTCACTTCCCCTGAAGAACTCAAAAATGGTCTTCGAAGAATCAGGTATAGTGCGTTTAATTTGACAACGGCAGCCGGAAATGAGGCGTCACCATCGACACTTGTCTGAGGTAGTTAAAAATTTAGCAAGACGTGATGAATACTTAGATTAAACACATATACGTCTTGCCTTGAACAGTGGTTCGAGGAGTTCATCTGGGGACTTGCAGCCATGGACCGCAGTATACTCGGGCCGTCGTATATGCAGTGCCAATGCCATCGAACAACGTCTGTTTCATCTGGAAGCTTGTGTCCTCTCTTCTTCGCGAACAACTTCTGTGCCGAAGACGCTCCCCAAGCCTCGAAGGATCGGACGGGCCGGGGGAACACCACCACCTGCAGTTTGACGTGCCCCGCTCGGACCTCGGACGCTGCAGTGTTCAACGTTCGGGCGTCGAAGGACCATGGGGTACCGTCCGAGCGGCCCCGGCGGCCGATGTGCTTGAATCTGGAGGGTTGCGACGGACTGCGGGTGTCCCACCACGAGGGGAATGGGCAGACCAGACGGCGTCTCGTAGTGCCATCGACCTTGCTCTTCCTGGACCCCTCATTTTGTGAACGCGAGGGGTGAGGAAGATCCCTTTCCCTGAACGGTCTACCCCGCCGTCGTTCGAGTGCGGCCGTAAGTTAGGAAATCAGACCATGATTGATGCTGGTATGGAAAAGCAAGTTGAACGGTTCCAGGATGCTGCTTTTGGAACGGCTTTGCCGCATAACAAGAAGCCTTCGGATTTTTGGTCGCATCTTTGAAGCTTCGCCCACTGAAAGCCCGGATCTGAGACGGAAGGCCTACGATGGCGAGATTCGGGGCAATTGGAAGAAAAACGCCAGAGCTATCCATAGAAACCACCACGGTCCACGTGGTGGCTGATCACCGCTAGAAGGCTAGCCGGATCGCACGGTATGAAACGCAGAAAACTTGCCCGTATCCAGCAAACAACGACTCTGCGGGTACAAGCTAGAGGATTTCCCCCTGAGTTGAGGCGTTTGCCGTTCGCCGGTATGCAACAAGGTAGATTAAGGTGCCCAGCTTGTCCTTCCGGTATGAGAAAATGAACAAGGGGACAGTCGGAAATGGAAGATTGGAAAGATGCACATTTTTGTCCGTTGGCGCGCCAAGCAGCAGATTGCGGCAGTCCCGGTGATCGCTATTGCCCACTGCAGTGTCGGTAAACATCATGCATCCGGCCGCAAAATTTGACGGTGGGTGTTTTTTGTCACATTCCGGGACGCAGCTGGAAGTTGACGTGTCGATGCTTTGACATGATGATGCTCACAACATTTTGGTTCCCGGCTGATTCGTGGAAATCGATCCTCGCAGAGGGAGAAGCAACGACTAGCGATGGAAAAGAAACAACGGCTGCTGCGAGGCGTCCAGAACATCTCATCCAATGCAACTGACTAAGCAGATTGTGGGTTGTACGGTACCTGCGTTACTATACTGGACTCAGAGTACCTAGCAAGGTGGTTCGCCAACTCCTTCCTGTGATACCACGGAAACCATCAATGCCAACAATATCAACGGGCTTGTTCAGATCTCCCACAGACACCACACCTAGCGATGATTCTCGAGCCAATGCCGCGAAATTATTGCGCAGGTCCCCAGAATAGAGTCATTCCCGACCATCTCGTTCGCTGTCCACTTAGCTGGGACCGGCAAGCCGCACACCGCACTGAGATGACAGACCCTGCAATGCTTGAGCACTACCGCAACTAGCGCCGGAGTCTTGATGCTATTCTAGCATGTGGCGACCTGAGCAACCATTCGCATGATATCTTGATCGACTCGGCCGTACTCCCTTGCCTTACCTTATCGTTACCTTGTTGATTTACTGGACCTGGAGCAATTCGACATGGCACGCCAGCATACAAAATCCACGATTGACTTTTGGATGCATCATTTCAGTTCCATAGAATCGCGGCCAACGCATCCGAGGTACGGCAGGGGCGAATCCCTGGGTGATCTGCTACCGCCCGCCTCCAATCAGCAGGGGAGCAGTACATGTGTCTCGCACAAACCGGAGGCAAGGGACCCTCCTCCATGATCCATTCTGGGCCAGGCAAGGCATCACCATGGGAGGTATGCAAGCAAGATGGACACAATGCAAGATGCAGGCGAATGATGCTTCAAACAGATGAGCGAAGAAAAGTGTCGTCAACATGGTTCGATGGACGCCGTTTGGCGGGACAACGCCTGCGTTGCTGTCACGGTCGACGATTACGACTGCAAACACCCAACCATCCAACTAACCGTTTGCGCCGTTGACCACCCGGCTCGGGACTCCAAACATCGCGTCCACTGCGACAGAATTCCATTTCCAAGACCAACCGAGCAAAGCCACACGCTACCCACTGGCATTGTCCAACAGGAATTCTTTGACTTTGTTCCTGGGACATACTAACACGGCTAGTCTTGAAACCAGTCAGTCAGCTGGTGCTGCCAATAAAAGCAACTAGCAAATGGGCTTCTTTCCAACCCTCGTCGAATGCTTTTTCTCCGAAGCGGCACTAAGTACGACGTCTAACCCCTGAACCTTGTACCATGTTTCCTTTTCTCTTGGATCGGCAGAGTGACCATCATCGTGGAGGCGCATCGTCGTCTTTCGGAACAGATCCATGCTTGTTTGCGACTGCAACAGATCCGATGAATACCTGGAACAAGCGTCAGGACGACAATCAACGTCGAAATTAGGTACAACAACGGATACATTGGTACCAGCAGGCCGAAAGACACCCAGCGTGGATGTACACTTTGGCTTCCGTTCCAGCAACAATGGTGCTTTGGGCGCCCAGGAAAATTACTCCCCAGAGGCCCAAAAGTCTGGGACGGGACTTTCTTCGACTTGCACTCGAGCCGGACAGTCACAATATCGGCCGGAGGTCCTGAGATACTACCGAAAACTAGACCATGAGACTGGCTTGAAAGCTATCTCGTGCTGTTCACACCTTTGTTGTTACTGTTGCACGGGCCGCGGTCCATCCCATCCCCTCCCATCCGACCATCTATCCGTCTGCTTACCTATTTTCGAAACTTTGATGCGCCATTTCATCCGAGCAGCGAGTCTTGTCACTACCACACCACCAGCCAGCCTATTCTAAGCCCATATCTTCTGTCGATGGGGAAGTTCGTCTCCTATCTGAGTTGAGAAGAAGGCAACGGACCTTTTCAAGTGACGGATTGTGGACGGGCAGAAACCCCGTCGCCCTGTCTGTTCTTTAAGAACGTAATCGAATGTCTCGATACCTTCCTGACCTTTGACGGGAGTCATGGTTTTCCCCCCTGATGTGCTACATCTCCCATACAACTCGGAGCAGCCACGCTCGGGTACATGGGTATCGCATCGTTTGACTGCACGAAGCCTTCGACCTGGGCGCAAAACTCGGTCTAGCGCAGACTATTTCCTCCTCATTCGCTCCGCTCCGCCATGTGTATGCACGCACTTCAGCCTTAGCACCCTTACACGACTCGTCGCGTCGCATTGTTCCTCCTTTTCTTTTTCCTTAGTCCACATGGAATCTGACGCTACGTAGCCCACCCGCTCGGCTTTTAGACTCCCCTTCCCCCTTCAACCCGTTCCCCCTTCCTTCTTTTCGCAATCATCTGTCCCATCATCTTCTCACATTGTAAACACACATACGACGAGGCCTCGGTCTCTCGGCACTCACCTGTCTTCTAGGCGTCGGCTTCCGACTTCAACATCACTTGGACTGCGAGGCATCACCTCATCAGCCTGTTGGCAGTCAACAGTGTGTTTGTATTATACAGTCGCCCTATGGAGGGCGATAAGCTGCGGCAATGGGCTTCTTGAAATTCTTCTCGTCCAAAAAGTCGTCTGACAAGACCTCAAGCGGAATCAAGGTGCAGGCATACGATGCTACGACTGCTTCTCTTCCCCCACTTCTAGGTAATATTGACCCAAAATTGGCCGGCTTTGCAACTTGAACTTACACAAATTTCTAGGTACATACCCGGTTGCTGGCAATGGACCAACAAATGTGTTTGAAGGCCTCCAGCGATCTCACCACAAGATGAGCGAAACCAACTTATCTCTCGCAGCTGGCTCTGAAGCTTCAGCCCCAGCACCGCCAGTTTTACGATTCCGCGATTCCAGCGTCGAACGTCCAAGTTCTGCTCCAGGTAGCGCCGTGCCTAACTACTCGCCGTCCCCGTCCGGTCGCTGGGAAAGAGAGTCATCAAGGGGTCCGCCATTATCCTTCAGAAAACCACGAATTGGTTCACTTATATCGACAACATCGGGTCTATCTCCCACCCCAAAGCGAAGCACCAATTCACCAGTAATACCGTTCGAAGGAGATCCGTTTCGCCCGCCAACGGCCCCTTTCACACACAACCGGCACATTTCTATGCAAAGCACAAGAGCAGCTGCTGTCAGAGGCTTCATCGATCTCCTCGACGCACAGTCCGAGATTAAGCCTTCTGGATTTCAGAGTCGGGTGAAAGCATCGGGTGCAAGAGATTACGGGGAAGATGTCGCTGACCGGAACATTGGCGTCAATGGTGTAGACCTTCAGTCAGACAAGGTCCAGGCATTCTACGCGACAAACGGTGGCAGTCCACGGGATCGACACAATGACGCGTTTGCGGCTCCAGCGAGGACCCAATTCGGAGACAAAGAACAAACGTTTAAGCCTCCCCGGCGCCAAGATTCCCTGGACAATGAGGCTCGCACCAAGTCTTTGACATCGGCGAGTCTCAGTCAGGTGCCATTCCAAATTAACAAGTTCAACCCCGAGAGCTCCCTGAACCGCGCGCCAATCATGGAGTCTGTTTCAGAGACGATCCGCGGCCGTCGAAGGCAGTCGCTGGGCGCCTACATTCCTACAACGCCATCGAATCCGGTGGCGGGTAGAGCCCTGAGCCTCCGAAGATCGACAACAGATACCTCTGGCTCCCCAAACGCTAGGCAGCACAAGAGGCGATCTACTCTGGGCGGCGAAGCGCCGTTGAATGAATTAGGCATTTTCACGGCTTCTAGCGGTGGGCCTAATGATTCGTCGTTATCGTCAAAGGCGATCCAGAAGCCAATGTACTTGGTTAAGCACAATTATTCGTTGCCGGTCCAGCAACGGCCAAAGACTGCGTCAGGTCTTGTCGATACTGAATCATACCAGGCGGTGAGGCCGCCATCCCGCGGAGGGTCAGTAGCCAGTCCCACATTCTCCTCCCCAACCCAGAAGTCACCATCCAAACGGCATACCCTTTCCGCGATAGGCGTCGCATCTACGCGCCCTACCGAGTGGCCGCGGAATGCGAAGCCCGACGGAGGGAGCGGCACAAGAGGATGGGTCGGCCGAGTTGAGGTTGAGAGCTTTGTTGATTCTGCGGATGTGTCCCCACCGGCGCCTTCACCTCGTTAGTGTTTACCGTCGATTTCCTACCGTATCTGTCGTCCACTTGGGAAGAATTTCTGCTAACTTGACTGTCATGGCAGATGTGATGAGAAGTGGCCACTCGTGGCGTGAAACCCAGGATGATTCTTATCAGCGGTCCAAGAGTAATGGGACGCCTTTTGGGAAGGGGAAATTGGACGAGATTTACGAACATGTGCCGATGCGCACAAGTAGTCTGCGGCATTGCTCAGTTTCGTCAGCGACGCCAACGATATCGAGTACCAGCTCCTTCCATCGCCCTCATTCTAGACACACCACGACGACAACCGTCGATCTGGCTACAAAGTCGTCGTTCATCAACGACAGCTGCAGCTCGTTGCATAGTGGAACAGGTGATCACGCGTCATTCTGCACAGCGCTGGAGAGCGCCTTGCCCTCGCCAACGGACCCGGCAGTACCTAGAGACGCATTCAACATTGATGACTACTTGTCTTCAGACGACGACATTGACGCCGACTCGTTTATTACTACACGAAAACGTGATTCGTCGCAGAGCGGCGGCCACGAGGAAGGGCTCCTTTTCAGTGATGAAGGGTACGGTGAAGGGGGTCTGCAGTTACCAGGACTCTTTGATAGCTTGTCGAACGTTCCAGACCCCGACACTACGTCGCCAGAGCGTTTTGGCCACAAGTATTCACTCAGTAACCCAGGCGGGCGTCTAGACCGGCGGTTATCCCTGGACCCGAGAATCGAAACACCGATTTCTCCTCTTGGAAATGATGATGACGAGGATGAGGACGATTATCTCTATGACATCCCTACGCGTTCAGACTTGGCCCTCGGTCTTCGGGGGACTCGTAGGATCTCGGCGCTGGGTACCATGTATCAGAGCATCGAGGAAGAAAAGGATGAGAAAGTTGATGTACGGGCCGCCGTCCGACTTCGAAAGGAAGACAAGGCGCGGCAGCGGGCCCTGGCTAGGTTCAGTCAGGTGCAGTTCAAGAGAATGTCCCACGTGGAGGGGAAGCAGGGCAGCAGTGAATGAAAGGGAGGCCAGTGCATAATCTCCTCGTCCTTTATAGCATGGACAGGGGTTCCAAGGGAGAAGGGAAGGCGCAGCGCTGGCTTTGCAAATGTTATCGAGGAGTTTTGGGCTATACCCAGGGTGGAGCTTGGGGACCTCGGAAGGAAAGGGGGCAAATGGTCTTTGGTCGGGATATAGAAATTGGGGCCCCCCCCTCGGCTTGAGGAATCTTCTTGGAGGCCGTCACGAATCACGTCTGCTCTTTTCGCCGTTTGATAGAACAATATGATACCATATCTTATTCGTACTGCACTTGATTCCAACGTCTTCGTTCGTCATGCCTGCCCAACCGTTTTGAGATTATGAGTACTATTTTTTGATTCTGTTCACATGGCAAATACTGGCAAATGGCCTGCATAGATCTGAAATGATGCAGTGACCTTTTCTAGCTTTTTCTTAGACCTGGCAAAACATGGAAGGTATCTCGTGACAAGGAAGCCTATTTCCCACTAATCAACTCTATACCGCTTCCAGGGCTAATTTACGAGAAAATAAACATGCCGTTATGCACCCCATCGTCACCACCGCCGCCGCCGCCACCACCGCCATCACCGCCGCCTCCCAGAAATGCACTCCAGTCCATCTCCGCCAGCTGCTCGTCGCACCACATCGACATGTCCATACCGCTGTCCGTGGTGGCCGAGGGCGTGCGGATGGCGGAGCCGGCGCCGGAGCCTTCGAGCTCGGCGGTGACGGCCTCGTAGAGAGCGCCGATGATGTCGGGGGTGCGGTCCGAGGCGCGCATCCACGGGCGCATTTCGGCAAAGAGCTCGAGGGCTTTTGCGAGGCTTGCGCACCATGATTGTAGGATGGTGTTGTTCTCGGGGGAGTTGGCGGTCGCTGCTGTTGGTAATATTGCCAAGTTTGCTGTTGCTTGTGATGGGATTGCGGTTGGCGCGGGTGCTGGTGGTGGTGGGTATTGTTGCTGCTGCTGCTGCTGCTGCTGCTGCTGCTGCTGCTGCTGTTGTTGCTGTTGCTGTTGCTGCTGCTTGCGAACGATGTTTCGTAAATGTGCCTCGATGGCTATGGAGAGTATGGGAACCATGCAAGCTTGGAAAAGGTACCATGCCGAGTTCCAGACATGGACACGGTTGGGTGTCCAGTAGAGGGTGATTGCATCGATGGCCTCCATGGCAACGGAGCGGCAGGTCTCGACGAGGGCGAGCTCGTCGGAAGAAGGCCCCGTCACAGCCGAGATGGCGGTGGCGCCGCGTCTGAGGGTATGGTCTTGGGCGAGATAGAGGAGGAAGCTTCGGGATAGGATTAGGCGGACATTTAGGTAGCGATTTCGCATGAACTCGCGTGCTTCCGTCAGGCGAGGTGGAGAGTTTGATGGGTTCTTTAGGTAGTCGGGGAGGGAGTCGTGCCACTCCACCAGCTCGCGGTCAAAAGCCATAGCTTCGTGGGCGGACAGACGCGCGGGTTGCGCAAAACGGTGCTGGATCCTGTCGCAGATGTGGCAGAATAGACAGCTTGCCCGCAGGGAAGCTGCTACGTGGTCGTCGGGGAATAGAGGCGTGGGTAAGAGGGTGTCCATGGTACTGCTATCCCATCGGCCGCACGTTGGGCGGCCGAGGGTCATGCTCGCCCACGTGTCGAGGCAGAAAAGGCTCCACCAAGTCCGTCTGCGCGTCTCGGCGCGTGAGATGTAGGTCCCGTGCTCCGTGACGCTCTCTGCGGGCTCGGCGGCGCGGCTGCGGGCGGGTTCCCGGTGTAATCCCAGGGCTATTGCGACGCGGTGAGCAGCACCGAGGACAGCATATGCCATGTTGGGTGAGTTTCGGTAGTGCAGGTAGTAGCCCCCGAGAAGGCAGAGAGCTTGTAGGCTCTCCATGTTGCCAGAGCCTAAGGAATCTAGGTCGAGGTGGGCGCGGGCCTCCTTGTAGTATTGGACGTGGAGAGAGTCGCTGCCGGAGGCGATGGAGCCCAAGGTGAAAACCATGTTGAGGAGGGCCAGCCAGGATCCATCGATACGGTTTCCTGCTGAGAGGTTACGTCTGAAGTCGTCTTCATTAAGAATCGGGGTTACTGAATGGATGTGATCAAAGTAGAAGTCAATGCAGCGCTGTTCCCGGAGAGGGTTCAAGCCTGTGCCCGGGGTGACGAGAGACAAGGATGGAAGCAGCTGGGATTGATAATGGAGATCGTTCCACGCCTTTGCTCTCTGAGCAGTATGATCTTTGGCAGCGGGGCAAAGACGGAATACTGCCCTGAGAACGGCGCTCATGGATGTCGCGCCAAGATAAGAGCGGCGGTGTTGGTCTGTTGCGAGACTTACGGCGTTGATGTCGTCGCTGGAGCCCAGAGTCGCCGGCTGTTGGGCGGGCTCATCCCAACGTCTGTCATTTGCAGCCTCCCCATTCTCAGAAACCTGCGCGGAGCCATCGGAGCCGTCATCGTCGTCATCGTCATCAGCAGCTGAGACGCCAACTGGTGATGGGTCCGCATGCAGAGCGGTGGAGCGCAAAACAAAGAGAGACTCCCGCGGCAGCAGGGCGAGCAACTCTGCTCGACTTTTGCCTACCAGATCGTCGACGGGTACATCAGGGAAGAGTTCCTGCAGCACACTGGACTGGGCCCGGAGCTGCTCCGAAGTCTTTTCAAGAGTACTGGGGTGAATATCAGCCTGAGTGGTCCTGCGGAAAAAAGAAGCAGCGGGTTTTGACGAGGGGGCAAGAGTATGTACCTCCTGCTGACGGCATGTCGTCTGCTCCGCTGCCTGTACTCGCATGAGTCTGCGACCTTGTAGTACTGGCAGCTGGCGCAAGGATGTCCACCATCGCACTTGACCTTGCGTCTCGTGCATTCCTGGCATGAGCGGTTGACCTTTCGTGAGGTTATTGGGGAGCTCACACCCGAGCCCGGGGGACTGCGGCGACTGTCAAAGGAGTGGAACATGGTCGGCCGACCCGTGACTGTCGTGGTTGTCGTCGGCATTTACACGGCCCTCGGCACGGCGAAAGACCCAATTGAGCGGGAGACATTTGGGGAGGGACATGCGGAGGGTCGGGGATTTGGAGGAGCGGGCCTGGAGGAGTAATATGTGGGTTGAAGGAGAGGAGGGGGTTGACTTGCATTTTTGAGGAGAAGCAAGACGTCAAAGGAGCGACGCGGGGAAGTTCGACGATGGCCTGTGATGAACATGGGGGAAGGCACCCGATTGTGGGGTTAGCGGTTTGGAGTCGGGACGAGGTACTTACCTCGAGGTACCTGTCTTACCTTAACCTTGGTAACTTTGGTATACTAGGTAGGTACTATAGGTAGTACTCCGTAGTACTCCGTGGTACTCCGCAAGGCACTAACTGGGAACAAGAGTGGTCCCGTGGTTCCTTTCGGCAAGGAGTCGAGAACACCCGACCCAGCGGCCTGGACCGGATCGCCCATTTTTGACACTTGATCGCAAAAGGACAATTGGCTGCCTGAGCGACCACCTACCAAACCAAGGTAGCTATCAATACTAAAAATGCTTCGTATTTTACTCAAGGTAGGTATCTACCTCGTGAAGATTTTCATCACCTTCCCATTCTGATAACCCTGGGCAGTCAGGCGTTAATGGTCAAACATAAACTCAAACCTTGGGCATGGTTTCCAGGCACCGAGTATTTGCCTTTGGTCCGACTCTACGATATCCGGCGAGGGATTAGCTCACGACGTGTTCCACTTATCCCGGCCCGATCATCTCCAGCCCGTCAAAGCGAAGGCCCCCAGATCTCCTCCAACCTCTTGAATAAAACACTGGGACATTAAATGTCAACGTAGGGATCCGTCTAGGCAACAAACACTCGAGCACTGTCTGTACGATCTCTCCCTGTAATGAGACCGTCAATGTCCCCTCTACTTTCAGCCCCATGGTCTCGTTTGCGAACTTAGGTAGGGCTGAACACCCCACGTCAAGAAAGACATGTTCTTCTTGCGACCCGTGGAATCCGTGCAGTTTGCAACGTTGCTCACGGCTTCCCCGATACTTTTCCAGCCTGATTACTGAACGAGCTCACAGGGTCAGTCAGTTTCTCGCTAACAAGTTTGGTCTCATTACGGGGAGAGAACCTTCGAATACATACTCTCTTGGTCTTCCCTAATACTGTGAATCGTCTTCATGAAGCAACTGTATCATTCAATATCGCCGAAAACGATGCAGCAATCAACAGAAATGCTTTATGAAGTCTAGTCATCTGTAGGCCAGGGAAATAGCTACCGGTGTATCTCGTGTAGCACAGTCCGATAGAGGTTCCTGAACAGAGTAAACGAGAAACAGATCGAACAAAGCCTAATCTCCTTGCCGAAGGCCTCACTCTCAGGCGTGAGGCTGCTCCTTGCGCCGACGGCATGTATTTTTGGCCCTCCCGTCTATATCAATCGCCGGCGGGCAGTCCAGAGTTAGCCCATACACACGGCAATGACCATGGTGGAAAGCTCCCAAGAGATTCAAAACGCAGAAGTGAAAGAACGCCTGCGGCGTTCCAATGGCCCCTCCTTACACGTCCAAGGCGCGCGCGGCAGATTGATCATCGGTGGGGCTCGTCATCAAGGAGCATATTATGTGCCAGGGGGAAACTGCCGGTCAAAGACCGATTGTAATATGTGATGAGCAGTGGGGTCGTTTCTCTCCATTACGAAACAGGCTCCTTCAAAAATGTTTTTGGCTCTAGCTGTGCATCTCGTGTTCCGCCCACAATACGGAGACACCTAGAAGAAGGATAGTCAAGACTCAGGAGCGCGTAGGGAGGGATCTGTTGTGGACCACGTACCACAAGGCTTTCATCTTGTTGATTGATGATCGCCCCAAGGGTGTTGTGGGTTATCTCCTTATTATGTGACGAGGATTTTGCCAAGACGCAACAACCAACAACGGAGAGCTTCTCGAAAGGAGGGGTAATCCCGCATACGCATGTGTACGCCCAAGAGTTCTGCGCTCTCCTTAACCCCTCTGCTCAAACGGTTTCGCCGATGACATTATCCCATCACCCCAAAACGCCCGGGATATGATTGAATAAAGAATGGAGGCCACAGACCAAACCAGCACGGCCGCTACGACTGCATCTCCGATCGCGGCTACCATTGGGCCTACAGCAGGAGCGGCCGATCTGGTGAGAACTTTCGCGTCAACCCCGGATCCTGTGTCAGGGCTTGTAAACTCGGAGAACCTGCCCTGAATAGGGCGGGAGAGAAGCAGTGTATTGATAAAATACGAAGTGATAGAATCCTGTTGTCGCAGCCGACGATCATGATCGTGATTCTTTGGCGGACTCCGAAAGGTGTGTGCGCGGCTTTCAAATGCCAAGTGAGAGATAACACTGAAAGAAACTGGTAAAGCATTGCGACCGAGTCAACTGCTTCTCTTGCCGAGAGTATTGCCGAATACCGTAGAATTCATGGTCGAACTTATACGCAAAAGGCCGATTACTGGGGCCCAAACGATGAGCAGCAAAACAAAGGGCTTGATCTCGCGTGAGTGGGAAAATATTGCCTCCGTACCCCCCCCCCCCCCCCCCACGCCAGAAGCTGCGACGGGCCCCCGACGCTCCCGCGGGACCCCCCCCCCCCCCGCACTCCCGCTCCCGCCCCCCCCCGGCACGGCCGCCCCCCGCGGAGGGGTCCTTCCCGGGGGGGGGCGCCCCCCCCCCCCCCCCCCCCCCTACTTGGCTAATGCTGGCTGCGTTCCAAAAGGCACTACTGGGAAACCCTCCTCCTCGGCGACAAGCTTTTCCTATCGCCACTGGGAAATGGCCCGATGGTAAGAGGTCCTTTCAGTGAGGCAGGACCCATCTCTGACGAATAAAACAGAAAGTCCTCGATTTGGGTACCGGTACTGGTATTTGGGCAATGTAGGTTTTGCGCCCCATGCCACCCAAAATGCTCCCTTTGGAATAAGGACAAAGCTGATGAGGGACGCAGTGACTTCGCCGACGAGTTCCCGTCTTCCGGAGTAACGGGTGTCGACATCTCCCCCATCCAGCCTGGGTGGGTGCCCCCAAACTGCAAGTTCCAAATCGACGATGTCGAACAGCCGTGGACATGGACACCCAACTTCGATTTCATTCACCTCCGCCACATGGAGGCCTGCATCTCCGACTGGAAAGCTTTCTACAAGAAAATCTATGACCACCTCAAGCCCGGCGGTTACTTTGAAATCAAGGACTTTGACATTGAGTTCCGCTCTCAGGCGTACGGGGACTCTCTCCCGGAAGACCACGTCTACCGCCGATGGGGCCAGGTCTTCTTCGAGGCTGCAAACCGGCTCGGCAAGTCCATGGACCAGTCCCGGGGCGGCCACAAGATCGCTGACGCCATGAGAGACGCCGGTTTCGTCGACGTTGTGGAGAGGAGCTGGCCTGTGCCTATCGGGGGCTGGCCGAAGGATCCCACGCTGAAGGAGGTTGGGATTTGCAACCTAGAGTTCCACGACCAATCACTGGAGGGCTTCTCCATGTTTTTGTTGACTCAGGTGATGGGTTGGGAGACAATACCGGCAGGGGTATTCGTCGCCGAGGCACGCAAAGCTCTCAAGGACCCAAAGCTTCAGACGGTGATATACTTGTGAGTCGCTCTTCCATATAGCTGGTTCTGGAGCCTTGTCAAGACATTGCTGACATGAAATAGGCAAGACGTTTACGGACGCAAGCCCGAGGATGCAGTTTAACTTGGAATCTATCAGCCGGTTCCTGTTCTTTGAGAGACTCGTTGATCTCAGCGAGTCGTTCGTGGCTAGACTGATTCAAGATCTTACTACAATTGCTATGGAACAACTTGAGAGATGAATGGGGACGGGGACAACAAGCGTTGGCCTTGCCTGTTTGACCGTTTGACCGTGCTTCGAAAACCCTTCGACTAGTATTCCACAGTCTATACTTTACAGCTTTGACTTTAACTCCAGTTCGATCGCCTCCAGACCTGACGGTCCACTATAAAGCTGCGCTTGTAAACCATTCGTGTTGATCTAATGACAAAGCTGTTAGCTACATGTAACTTGCCATCATCGACATCAAATTCAAGGTTGGTGATCCGAACTTACGTGTCTCGGCCCAAGTTGATCCACACGTTCTACGCCAAGTAGCCTCATGGCGGTGACAGTCTCATCCGCAAGAACTGCGCAAAACTATCAGCTCCAAGGAAGTAACCCTCACGGTTGGGATAGACTCACTCTGCAATGCCCTTTCTACTCCCGCTTGTCCCCCGACCGCCAAACTGTACAGCGCCGCCCTCCCGATACCTACGCCTTTGGCCCCCAACGCCAGTGCTTTGACGACGTCTGTACCCCTTTTAATGCCTCCATCGATGAGAACATCAATCTTGTCAAAGACCTCTGGGCAGAATTTCCGAATTTCTAGAAGCACTTGAACAGGTGTCATCGTCGTGTCCAGAGCCCGTCCGCCATGATTGGAAATAATAATGCCCTTTACGCTCGGAAAGAGGGTCGCCGCGTATGCATCCTCGTGAGTCTGGATGCCTTTCAACACTATTGGGAGCGACGTGTGCTTGACGAGCCAGGTCAGCGTCCTTTTCCACGTGAGTGCTGACTCCGTGCCCCAAACTCCCGGCGGCCCGCCTCCCGCAACCTCGGCCATCTTGAATCGCTCATCCGCTTCTCGCTTGCCGGGAAATGGGGCGTCTAGAGTAAGCACGATGAATTTGATTTGAGGAATCGCTCGTATCTGTGCTAGTGTCCTCTCTGTGGCTTCAATGTCCTTCAAGACGTAGAGCTGCCAAGCAAATGTCGCGTCTGGTCCAGCCTGGACAATCGCCGAGGGAGACATTGAGGCATTCTTGCTGATAATCTGCAGGCCCTTGAACTTTGAACACGCTGCTGCGATGCCCGCCTCGCCTATCGGTTGGGCCAATTTGGCCATGGCCGCGGGCGAAACGTAGATTGGCATTCCGACCGGATTCCCAAGCAGACTGGTCGACAGAGAGCACCGGGTACAGTCAACAAAGACCCGTGGTCGTAGGAGTATGGACCGGAAGATGGTGCCATTCGCGATCTTGGTGACCTCGTCGTCGGTTCCAGAGGCGTAGTATGAGATGGCCTTTGGGCTCAGCTTTTGCAAGGCATACTGCTCCATCTCAGAAATGCTGAGGATTTGAGACACTGGAGGTACGCCTTCTGAGCTTTCTGGTGATGGCGAAGAGTTTGAAGGTACGTCTGCGGGAGGACCATTTGTTTGCGGCGGAGCTTCCGATGCTGCGACTTCAAAGGTTCCCATCAGTTGATCAGGCCGGAGATACTCTTCCAAGAGCTCAATCGGATGCACTGCGTCAAACGCTGCGGTCGCATCTTTGCCGGCATTCTTCAGGAGAATGGCTTTACCGCCTGGATGGCTGGGGAGAAACGACGTGATCTACCGCCTGTGGTAAGTTTTGAGGTACCTATCATAAGAGGGCCATGAAAGATACATCGTAGACTTTGCCGTGGATGACCATCCAGCAATCATCGGATGTCTGGTGTTGACGCACTGGGAACGTTTAGCTTTTTGTTTGTATCACCATGTAGCATGAGGCAATCACCTTCGGGGAGCGACCACGTTGGGCTCATGATGGCTACAGATTACTAGCCTCATACATTGTTTACTTTTGTAGACGAGTGAAATCAGGGCAATGCAACTGTTGTCGAGGATGGCTGTTTTGATGATCACAAGTGGTAGAGCACGAAGCAGAACACTCCTCCATCAGGCATCTATTAGTGGTATTGAGCATGCATTTCACCATATTACCGCAACTTGATTTTGACTGATCTCAGTCGGGTATTTATATTCCCATATGCTTCTTCCGGATGCGGGTTTCCATATCCCCGCTGGAGGTGGACACTTTCCCCAGGGTCCCCGCAATATGGCCCACTCTCTCCTCACCGTCTTGGCCGACCCCAAACCCCAACTTCCCGCTAATTCAGCTGAAAGGCCACCATAGACTTCCGGGGAGGAGAAAGCCTTGCCCGGAATGCCGAGGGCTTCTTGAGATATGGTTATGGAAGATGACGCAAAGGATTAGGCAGAAGTAGAAGACGCCAAACGTGTTGTGGTTCGACTCCTCGCCTGTAGCCTTGTACTAGCCAGCGAGCCGCGAAAGATAGGTCTTTACGAACAACGTAAGTAGCCACGCGCCACGGCACTTTTGTAATTTACCAAGTCATTTTAGCTTTGGAACGTCCCTTCATGGTCTGAGGAAATGGCTTTTGAGGACACAGTCGGGCTAGTTAGCGTAAAGGATCTTAACCGTCGCCAGACTATGGTAGTTAGTTGTCGACCCGTCCCCCAATACACTGTCGCAATTCTTCAACTTGATGAATTATCCCCAAACTCTTGATATTAGAGAACCTATCTTTGAATACCGGGATAGTTCACCAGAAACAACTTTTATTACCATCATGCATGTACAAACTCATCAAACGTACCTAAGAGACCGGGCCGGCAAATGCCAGCTGCGAAGACACTCGGAGCCTGAGGTGCCATGATTACATAATGATACAACTCCACCTTTAATTTCCAGCCCCTTTCTGAGGTGCTTAATTGGAAAAGAGGCTCAACAGAACTCTTGAGTCAACATAATACATAGATTCTTGTTTCTGATTACCTTAGTCTGACAAGTCTTCTCAATATGGGCCGAGAGCAGAGACGAAAGAAGCCAAAACGGCAGGAACGCCACCGGCAAGAGGAGCAGCAACAAAATCATCAGATACAGCAGAGACTACAGCAACTAAAGCAAGAGGCGCGCAAGCAGGAACAGAGGTTGAAGCAACAACAAAACCAGCAACAGGGAAAGAAGAAGCGGTGGTCTTCGAGAAGCCGACCTCAATTCAATCCCAAAAATCGTCCCGACTGGTTTTTCCGTCATCTGGATATCCTAGAGTATCAATCTGCCGATCACGAAAGGAGAGTCTTTGGGGAAGATCTTTCTGACATTGAGCCCTCTAAGAAGGATTGCACCCACGAAGAAGATGGCTCTGAATGCGAGTGTGAAATACCGGTTCTGCGAGAGTACACAGGCGACGATAAGGAAGAAGAGCTGTTTCGTAAAGCGAGATGGCAACGGGAGATGTACAAGCGCGAAGTGTTCCCCGAATCCAGCAAGCACTATCAGATTGAACGAAAGAAAAGGATGGAGCACCATGGAACGACAGAACAAGGAAAGATTCAGGAAGATCAAGTCGGCCGTCGAGACTCTGCTACGGAACGAATCAAGAGAGGAGAGAAAGCCTCTTTACTATATGAGCCGCAACATCACGTCCAAATTCGACTTGGTCTCTGAAGAATACACAGCTCCCGTAGATCCCGATGGTATCCGCACGAGCTGTACGATTGACTTTTCAGACATGGGATCATTTCGCGCCATGAAGGTCCCATCGCTCAGGGGCTTGACCGAATTGAAGGTCGGCAGGCAATTGACTGGGTGTCTATCCATTGACGGCGCAGAGGATTCCGACGATGAGATCCGAGTTGAATTTGAATCATTCGAGTGCCCTCAAACTCCGGGAGTGTATTAGATTCTCACGGACAGAGACGACGGAGCTCGAGAGTTGAAGATTGAATTTCTCAATGACGATTATGTCATACTGGATGTTCATCCGGATGCAGTCTTCTGCAATGAAAGCGGGGGAAGACTGTCTACGTGGCTCAAAAACCCTCTGTCTCGGTATCGGTTTTACGGCATAAATAGGGCTTTGAGTGATGATAGATTTTACCGAGGATGAAATAGTCAGAAGTCAGAAAGACGAGAGCGGCGTGCCTCTTGATAGGTGCTGTGTAGGCAATTGATGTTTAATAGAGAAGTTGTTGGAGAGAATGAAGAGTTGTTAAAATGAATGTTGAGTTTCGATCCGGATTGTGAGTTGTGATTATGATCGATGAGAGGAGAATGCTGTAAAAATTTACATAACAGATTTCCGTTGACTTACATGCATCAGGCTGAGCATCGCTGAAGTCTGTATCACTATCTTCACTTTCGCCCCGACATGACCGTGAGGATGGAATCAACGAAGATCCATCTCCCATACAGCGTGGATTCGGTACAGTATTACAGGGTGTCTCGAAAGCGGTAGCGAACGCAGACGTTTGAGGTGAAGCCCGTGCTTCCCCGCACAAGCCCCCCACATCGCTAATCGCCCACAGAAAAAGATGCTAGTTACGAGATATGACCTGTTGTATTCGTGAAACAGGCTATGTCAATTGACTGGCTTCACAGGCCAGGTTTCATTCTCAAACACTCTTACGAGACGGAAACAAACCAATAGTGAGCAAGCATCTCAAACGAGCAAGCGACTCAAACAAGCAAGCGGGTCGAGTATCAACAAGTTGCGATCCTCGTGATGCCCACTGCCTCATCGCCTAACTCTGTTGAAACTGGTTCGGACAATCATGCGCTCAGAAAGATGAAAAGGGGCGATGCGAAGTGATATTTTTTTCACCGCGAAGGGTTGAAAAAGCCGAAAAGATGTTTGCAAGTAACTTTCTAGCTCGTCGCTTTGGAACTTTTCGAGGTCAAGCGTGGTGATTTCATAGATGCCAGCAACATTAGTTGACATTTAGCGCAAAGCGAAGCCCTCACTGGGAATTTGAACTTATGCATCTAGTAGTCGATCTGGTCCAAGCAGCTGCTGGAGAAGCATTGCACATTTGAATGGAACAAGTAGATAGGAGGTAAAATTGGGAAAGAGAGAGAGATGAGAACATGACGTTAATAGGCATGCGTGAGATCGGAAGACTAAGAGGATGAGTAGAACGAGGGTAGCCTCACTTCTGACTTTACAGTCCAGGCAGTATATATTCTGGAGTGTTTAGACGCATCAAAATTGATTACCGAAGGACTGGCATTACATGATCTTTTCAATGCTCAGGGAACCACTTGAGGACACACTCCATCTCTTCAACGACGCTCTGCTCTAGCGAAGTCCATCCATCTTGACCTCCCCATTTGTGAAGCAATCTAAGCTGTTGGTCGTAATCGGCTGTGACCTCAAGTTTGGTCTGGTTCGGGAAGTCTTCCATGAACTTTGTCCGCGGACGGAGCCTTCGCAAGATGGCAAGTATGTCGTTCATGTTGCAATATTCGCCCCAGGCTTGCAGTCGCGCGCCGTTGCAATCGGGATCTAGTACCACCGCAACGTGCAGGAGAGCAACATCTTTCACGTCAATGTGGATGACTAGATTCGCACATCATCGCTAGTCGTTTGAAGAGAATGGTGGCGTTTATAAGGAACACTTACTGGCCTGAAACAAAGCCCCAACCTCTTCGTTTCCATCATAGAGGTTTTTTACCCACGGGTAGGGAGACAACAAATGTTTCTGGAAAAGAGCTTCGCCCAATACTGTTGAGGGGCTGACAACATTGACGGTATAGTGAGGATTGTTCTTTTCGACAAAGGCCCATAATGCCTTCTCCGCCTCGACCTTGCTAGCCTGGTAGACCATGTGCCAATGATTGGGGGCGTGCGGAGGCGGAGCCCAGGCAGCTTTGACTGCCTCCTCATTCCATGCGTCCGGCCCCGCGTGGGCAGTAATTCCCGGACTCAGATCAACTGCGGCGGCTATGGAGCTGGTATAGACGATCGACTTCACCGATGGCTCGCGAGCCGCGGCATTCAGGATTGAGATCACGCTGCTGACGACCGGGGGAATGACCTCTTGGGCATTATCGGAGAAGGTGAGGATCGAAGCGATGTGGGCGATGGCCGAGACCCCCTTGATCGCTTCGTCAAAGGCATGTTGGGCGCCGAGGTCGGGGACGTGTACGAGCTCGAGTTCGCCACGGTCCGCGAAAGACTTGAAAACATCCTGGGTGAGCCATGCAGCGCTCTTGAGATCTCGCACCGTTCCTCGGACCTTGTATCCACGTTCGAGAAATTGTTTGACTGTGTGCGCCGCTATATGACCGGTAGCACCGGTAATGAGGACCCAGGAGCCTTTGGGAACTGCGGTTTTGGGGCTTGACATTGCAACGAAGTTTCCGAAGATTCAAGATTTGTGATGAGATTTAGGATTTATTCTGTCAGATGTGTGTAGAATTGAATCTTCTGGTTCCTCGCGAATGCGAGCTTCTATATAGTACCTGTCAAAATCAAGTGTGCAGTCAGTCCTCTGAGACATCTCCAATCAAGCCAGGGCGAGAACTCGTCCATGCTCCATTGAGAAAGAGCGCACCTTGGCGGCACCTTGGTATGTATACAAGGCATCTTGAGCCGGGACTGGGAGCTTGATTCCCAATTTGGAAGCAGCAAGTCTTGGCAGCATTAGTTGCTGACAGTTGAGCCGCATAGATCTGGACTACTCCCCTTCACTGTAATACTGACTGAATTGTCTGATGACAAATGCTTTCCGCGGAAGAATTCTCGTATTTGCGGATTGGGTCCCATGACGGCTGACAAATGATATCGGCCTCGTCTCCGACCAGCCGTGGCAGTCTTCTTTCTATCACCTAGACTTGGGGGCTCGCATCCAAGTCTTTGAACGATAAGTCGAAACAACTGCCATCATGACAGGGAAACGAGGCGAAATTAAGTTCATCCATTCACATGAACAGGAAACTCTGGGAGTCACGTCGGCTGAGACGCAGCGCCGAGTTCACTCGCATGCAGCCAAGGCGGCACACGCGAAGGCAAGGCGACAGAGGGTTCTCCAGTACCAAGCCATCAAATCAGCCGAATTGCAAGCAGATATCACCTTGTACCCATTTGGCTCGCTGGGATCTGACCGGAGGGACCCCTTTGCTAGTTTTGCGAGGCGCCTTAATCCGATTGAAAACTTCCTCCTGGACTATTGTAAGTGAAACTCGCATATATCAGAGGACATCGAATTTCCAAGGTCCTGTTTTAAATGCTTCCCGCAGAAGTTTTGAAATTCAAGGAGCTTTGAATATCTAAATTCTTCCAGATGTGCGCAACGTCGTGCCATGTTCAAGATATGAGCCAAATCAGAGCGTCCTTTCCGACGGCTGTAAGCGGCCCATGAACAATCAATTTGTACAACTTGCTGCTACCAGCGATAGCGCTCTAAACGGCCTCTTCCTAGTGACATGCAGGCATCTGTCGCAGTGTCTGCCGCAACAAGAACCGCACTATACGCATCTCGCCTTACAATACAAAGTCGCCTGTGCACGGCTACTCATGGAGGCCATATCATGCTTGGAGATGAGATCCCCGATAAGTGATTCAACTATCACCCTGGCCGTTTTCTTAGCACAAGATGAGGTGAATCATTCCAACTTGCCTATGTAGCTGTGTTCTTTCGGCAGAGTATTGACACCCGACAGGTCCTTGTCGGTGATGTTACATCGACACGACGGCATCTACAAGGCGCGATCCATATGGTGAAGCATAACGGGGCGCTGAACAAGAGCGGATTCAACGTGTTTCTTTACGACATCATCCAAAACGACATTGCAAACTCCGACTTGATGCAAGAAGCTGCACCATTTCCGCAACTCCTGGGATCAATCTAGGATGAGACCTCAATGGGAACATAGCTAAATCATAGGCCACGCGTTCACAGCAAGCCTTATACGTATTTAAATATACGTAAACCTTCTATTGTACGCTCACTTATGAGTGCGAAAGCTCCTGGGTGCCCCAATCGAATGCCGGAAAAATTGTGGTTCTGGGTTATACGTCACGGCTGTCTCTCTTATCCTAAAGAAATTAGAAACAATGGGTGAATTTTCTTCTTCTTTTTATGGCACTGCTTCTCTGTCATCTCCTGTAAGACAATAAAGGTGGTTTTCATATACAAGGGCTCAGAAAGTAGGAAGAGTCCGACGTTCCGAGTTCGCAATTACACCCTCAAATGACGGAGTTGCGCATCGCGAAGGCCTGGATACATCTCAACTTTCGACTATTGTCCGTACTGTTTAAAAAACATCCTGGAAACAGAAGGCGAAGCCGGTCCCCATGATACAAATGACTAATAGCTCTATGAGGGTGACGCTTGCTTCTCATTACTAGTTGCTAGGAGAGACTGGTCACCTGTGCATGTCCCTTTCCTGACTAGGCATGGACCCAAGGAAGTGGTGCCATAGACCCGTATTTTCCCCGACAATTTATATCCCCGCGTGGACCTAGCGTCGATGCTTCCGGGGACGTAAAATCTGGGGCCCCGACGTTGCCAAATCATAATCAATGAGATGATATGCAGCTCAATCTGATATATAAACAGCTTCGCAGCAGTTTGTTGTTGGATATTATCAAGTCGCCAACTTCAAGTCCTCAGCCCTCCGCCATCCTGATCTCGTGGGTTGAACGGTCTGGTGTTATCGTTTCCACCACCTACGTTGATATCGAATCTCACATTACAGAAAGAAACAGACACCAGTGGGCGTCAAATCGGACGGAAAGCGATCCAAATTTTTAACACGATGGATCAAGCCAAGGACGGTCCTGTCCTCAAACATTTGGACGATGCCGACACCGCTGCTGATACTTATGCCGCGATCATGGCAACGCATAAGCCTAATCCACGAGGACCCGGTTACATCAGGCTTTACCTTCTTGCGACAGTGCTGTTCTTCTGTTCAACTATGAATGGTACGTAGATTACTCTCTCGCATTGGACTTCTAACGGCTAATTCTACTTAGGCTATGACAGCGCTCTGCTAGGGTCCATCAACGCGTTGCCAAACTACACGGAATACTTTGGGCTACCTACGAAGGGCAACGCAAGCACGGGTATTGTGTTCGCCATCTTTCAGGTATGAATAGGAACGAGAACTTTATCGTGTTAAGGTCACTAATCTTGGGACAAGGTCGGTCAAATGAGCGGCGCCCTCTTCATCTGGATGGCAGATTGGTACGGTCGGACCTGGCATATCTTTTTCGGCTGCCTGGGTGTCTGCGTGGGAACAATTATCACGGCACTATCCACGAGTCTGCCCATGTTCATAGGCGGCCGCTTCATCTTGTCCTTTTTCGCTACCTGTGCTCACACGTCTGCGCCCCTTTACCTGGTCGAGATCGCACCTGCTCGGTATCGCGGCACCATCGCAGGCCTCTACAACACCTTTTACAACGTGGTATGCGATACTTCAATGATAGGAAGAAAGCGTCCTTGGGCGTGTGCGACTTGGCAAGTGTTTAGGCTGTTGCTGACAGTTTAAACTCTACGCAGGGCTCGATCTTGGCAACCTCGGCAGTATACGCGTGCCACCGCTACCTCAGTGATCGAGGAGACTTGGATTGGAGAATACCACTGTGGCTACAAATGGTGTGCCCTGGATTTGTCTGCGTCTTGATCAAGTTCTTCCCCGAATCTCCCCGATGGTATGTGCCCTTCAACCCCGAACCCGAATGTTTGTCTGATGCCGGGACAGGCTCGTCGCCAAAGACCGGCATGATGAGGCCAAGAACATCATAGCAACTTACCACACCAACGGAGATTTGGACCATCCTCTCGTAGACCTCCAGATGAAAGAAATGATTAACTCGATCGATCCGACTCACGCAGCATCGTGGAAAGATCTCTTCGACTTGAGAGTCCTCGTTGAGACCCGGTCTAGCAGGTACAGGCTCATGCTCAACATTGCGTTCTCTTGGTTTGGACAATTCAGCGGCAACAATATCAGTAAGTCTTTTCACGTGACCCCTTCATCTTATTCTTGAGCAACTCACAAATACTTGCCAGTCTCATACTACCTCCCCATCATGCTCGCGGGTGTCGGCATCACCGATACGGACACGAAGCTGATCCTCAACATCGTATACTCTGTCATTGGCTGGGTTTTCTCAACCGCAGGCTCTCGTCTCCACGACGTTGTCGGGCGCCGTAAGATGCTCATTGGCACGGCATCGGGTATGACTGTTTGTCTGGCCCTCGTCGCGGGCTGCTCTGCGGGCTACACCGACTACGGCAACAAGACGGCTTCGACGGTCAGCATCGTTTTCATCTTTATCTTTGGTGCCATCTTTGCCACAGGGTTCACGCCGATGCAACCCATCTACCCGGCCGAGGTCGTCAGTAACAAGATGCGCGCCAAGGCGATGGGGACTTTCAAGCTGACGGCTGGTGCGGCGGGATTTCTCAACACTTTTGTTGGACCTATAGCTCTCTCAAATGTGAGTCCATATTCAGAAGCTGGATTGACAGATTTCGCTGAACTTCAGTACTGACGAAAAAAATCATGGCAGATTGGTTATTGGTTTTATGTCTTCTTCGTGGCCTGGGATAGTTTCGAAATCCTCTTCATGTATTTCTTCTTCGTTGAAACCAAGGGCTTCACGTTGGAGGAACTTGATGAAGTTTTTGAAGCAGAAAACCCCCGGAAAGCTTCGGTAGAGGCCAAAAAGAGACAACAGCAGATTATGAGGCAGGGTCCAGTTGCGGCTTGATATAGAGTCTTCTATGTATCCCTACAGACGTAGGATTTGCCCGCGATGATTCCGCGTTAGATGAGATCGAGTTCAATCTCTGGCCTGTCCTGAAGCCAAGACTCATTCCTCAAGACAAACCATCCAACACGTTTCCATTTACCCTCGTGCGGAACAATCATCAAACCCTCTTTATCGATCAGCGGGAGGCCCCAGACGTCTTCGAAATGTGATGCTTCCTCGGGCACATCAAAGGCTCCCGCGGCTACAACCCTTTCTTCACTGTCAGATGAATTTGGCTTTAACCCAGTCGAGACGAGTAAGACTGCGTGATTTAACATTCTCTTGTAAGGAAGCCATCGCTTTCTTGACGTGTCCGCCTCGAACCAATCGACAACGCCCGTCTTGATCAAAGTTGCCTTTGCCGGGCGCCCCAGGATTTGTAATGTACAAGACGGCATGTGGAGGGCAGTGACGTCGCAGTCTCCTGCGGTCGTCCATCTTGTGCCCAGCTTAGGCTTTATCTTGACATAATTGCTGTCCTGGAACAGTTTTGATTTTCTCGGATTGTAGACACGACGGAGAGGCCCTTCGACAGACGCCCAGGACCACGATGGCGCGCGGATCACCGGCGCTGGGGCAAAGGGAGTTGGTTTCGGACGCGTGACCGAGTCGTTGAAAAACGCATGCACCTGGTTGCGTGGTTTCCACAACAGGCCTCTGACTAGATCTTCCTCCCATATGCCCGCGAGGTAGCGAGATTTCAGCACGTCTTGCGCAAGCTTCGCGATCGAGGCGATGGCTGCAAAGATATCATGCGGATTCGACAGAGCTCTCATTGTAAACATATCGACGTATTCGTACCACATCTTGAGGGTTGTCTCTTTATCGGCTGCCGAGTGTGGAGCGCCGGTAGAGAAGCCGGGAGTAAGGAAGGTGGGCTCGAGGTCTTGGAAATCGACTTGGCCATCTTCCCAATTCTTTTCCTCGCGGCATTGGTAGATCATCTGCTCCTTACCAAATATGATGGCCCGGGTTGAGAGCTTTTCTTCCTGGAAACACCATCCACGGGTGGACACGGGTCCGATAACAGTAGACCTCGGGAGGCAGATGCCGACGGTATCTTTCGTGTTTGGGCCGAGCGGCAAGGCACAAGGAGGGACATTTTGACTTAGTCGGTTCGTGAGGAAACCGTGACGGGCATCATCCGAGCGACCGGCAATTATGGTCAAAGCCGCGTTGCCGTAGACGTGTGCCATGCGTTGCGATTCGAAGGCCCAGTCATCGGCATCGCCCTGTATGATGCAAAGCGCATCGATCCAGAGGTATTCAACGCCTAGAGAGCGCGCGAAGCGAATAGACTCTTGATGAGTCTTGGTTAGCTTTCCTTCCATGACGCCATCCAAGAGCTCATCTTTGGTCTTGTGCGTCAAAGTGAAGGTATCTTTGCCGGGACCCCAGCAATAGGACAGGGCAATGTACGGCTCTCTGAGGCCATTCGTGACTTTCAGTCTCGGTTTTTCGACATCTTTGCCCACCGCAATGACACGAGTCGGCATCTCCAAGGACCTCGGTTTGCAGAGCTTGTGAGAGGTTCTGCACTTTTTCAAGCGCCAACCCGCCAGTTCCATGTAGAGATTAGGGTCGTGGTCCGCAGTTATAAACCGTTCAATGTACTTGGACGCTGCCGGCGTTGTGTGGCTTCTGCTGATGATTAGATCTTGTTCAATAAGTTCAATTTGCCGAGGCGTAGCAAAATCAAGAGTAATTCAAGCGTATAGACCAGTATCACATAGAACATGGGGATGGCTTACGCAAAAAGAGCCAGACGGGAGGCAAATGGCATGCCAGGGCTATTAGTTTCTCCCTGACCACCGTCCGGATACATTCTTCCACAGGAGATCCATATTGCACATCCGGGAAGGTCTTTGCTAGTGCTGCGGTTGCCTAGCCTCACCTCTCCATGTAGCCAAACGCTGGAGAAAAAGGATTCTTTTTTGTAGCCTGGCGGTATTTGATTACTGAGAAGGGCGTCGGTGATGCTGTGATGGGTGTCTTCCATGACGCGCGTGTAGCAAAGAGTGCAAAAGGGGCATTGCGCAGCGGCGCTTCGCTGGAGGGCCTTGAGGCTGGGGTGAAAACGAACATCTGTGGCGTCTAGTTGCTCAATGTCGAGTTTGGCACAAATCTCGCAAAGCGACATGGCTATTGCTTGCGTACTTCCAACAGCTCAACCAAAGCGATGCCGGTGTGACTGTCACAAGAGACAACATGAGGAACATGGTGGTGCCAGTTCGTGGCTGACTCGGGATGCCCATCCTCACCTCACAACTCCACCAGCCAGCAGGATTCAGAAATGGGCGCAACGTAATATTTCTATTGGTCGACGAGCATTGGGACGTCCTAAATATGCAGGTAATACGCCAAGTTCCGCTGGGCCCATGTACTGCGTAGGCTTGGAGCTTCTAGCTGATGGTGGATTCGCAAGGGGGCGAAGACACTGCCGGTGGAGAGGTACGGAAACCTGTACAGCAGCATATACATCATTAAATTGCAGGAGAATAAGTGCTTTCGGGTTTTATTCAACACTTATTATGGGAAGAGTCTCGACTGAAGGCGAAAGATGTCATCGTGACAAAACATGGGTGGGAAGTATCCAGTCCAGGAATGGGCGGAACGCATCCGCGCTGAAGTACAATTCTTCGTCCTCCAGGCTCGCCTTACATAAGCAGAGCCGCGACGCTAACAGGCACTGATAAGATAAGCATTGACCCACCCCTCCCAAATTTGGATTTTTTTTTTTTGATCTGCTTAGGATTGCCTGCGTCGCAAACTCCTGCTGCGGATTCCTCTGAACATCACACTTTCGCGGCACGACAATATCCACGATGAAGAGAAAAGCCGACGAGACCGCCACCGCGCCCGAGAGCGAGAAGCGCGCAAAGACAGAAGTTTCTACACCTGAACTATCATTCTCCGATCTGGGCCTCGACACACGGTTAGTGCAGGCCGTCGCCGCCGAGAGCTTCAAGGACCCAACACCCGTGCAACAGAAGGCCATTCCTTTGGCCTTGGACGGCAAAGATGTCGCTGCGAAGGCGCCAACAGGTTCCGGAAAGACGGCTGCTTACGTCCTGCCCGTTCTCTCGAGTATCCTGAAGCGAAAAGCTGTATGTAGCAGCGTTGTCGATACCAAAAGTGAACTCTGCTAACCACCAAAATCTTCAGACCGATTCTTCCCCCGCCACGACTGCCCTGATCCTCGTCCCGACCCGTGAGCTTGCCGACCAAGTTGTCAAAGCGATCGAGCAGTTCTCAGCATACTGCGCAAAAGACATCCACGCAGTCAAGCTCGTCGACAAGATCTCCGATGCGGTTCAGCGTTCCCTCCTCTCAAACTTCCCCGACGTCGTCGTGTCCACCCCCGCTACCGCATGGCGTAACATTACCTCCGAAGCATTATCCCTCGACAATCTGACGTGCTTGGTCCTTGATGAGGCTGACCTTATCCTGTCATACGGCTACGACGAAGACCTCGAGAACATTGCGCGAAAGCTACCCAAGGGTGTCCAGCTCTTGCTAATGAGCGCGACACTGTCTACAGACGTTACAACTCTGGGAGGCATCTTTGGACGCAAGCCGACAATTCTGGATCTCGACGAAGAGGAGACAGAGAATGACAACCTGTCGCAATTCGTTGTCAGCTGCGGAGAAGACGAAAAGTTCCTTTTGGCATTCATCATTTTTAAGCTGAAGCTTGTCAAGGGTAAATGTCTCATCTTTGTAAACGACGTCGATCGTTCGTACCGCCTGAAGCTATTCCTCGAGCAGTTCCAGGTCCGAAGTTGTATCCTGAATTCGGAATTGCCTGTCACATCGAGAGCGCATGTGCTGGAGGAGTTCAACCGGGGAGTCTACGACATCATCATAGCGTCCGATGAGAAGAGCGCGATGGGTACCGAAGAGAAAGACGGCGAAGAAGGTGACGGTTTGGAGCAAAAGAAGGAAAAGGACTCAAAGAAGAAGCGGAAGTCGAAACGAGACGCAGAGTTTGGCGTCTCACGAGGCATTGACTTCAAGAACGTGGCTGCGGTGGTCAACTTTGATCTGCCGACGTCCGCATCATCATACACACATCGCATCGGCCGCACAGCGCGCGCTGGCCGGACAGGCATGGCATTGTCCTTTTACGTGCCTCAAGAGCTGTACCGCAAGCACGTCCCCACGAGCATAGAAACCGCGGAGAACGATGAGAAGATCTTGGCCAGGATCAAGAAGCAACAGGCGAAGCTAGGCAAGGAGGTGAAGCCTTACAACTTCAAGAAGGAGCATCTTGATGCGTTCAGGTATCGTCTGGACGATGCCTTGAGAGCAGTCACCAAGGTTGCAGTTCGTGAGGCGCGTATGAGAGAACTGAAGCAAGAGATCCTCAAGAGCGAGAAGTTGAAGAGGTATGTTTTACTAGATGACCTGGCTCGTCATTTTGACCGCGAGTGTAGACCGGAACCCTGCTAACCAACCTCAGGTACTTTGAGGAGAACCCAACAGAGTTGCAGCACCTCAGACATGACGGCGAATTGAGGACAGCCAGACAACAGCCTCACCTGAGGCACGTACCCGAATACCTGTTGCCCAAGGAAGGCAAGGATTCACTCACAAAGAACGACATTGGTATGGTGCCGTTTCGAAAGGTTGGTGGCAAGCAGAGGAGGAATAAGAGCAAGCCCGGTCGCGGCAAGAAGGTGGGAACAAGGAAAGTCAATCCCTTGAAGACTTTCAAGGCACGGAGGAAATGAGTAAAAAACCTCAAACTTTTCCCGGAATCGGTGGACTGTAGATACTAATAGCGACTCCCATTGTTTCCTGAAATGATTATGCGACCCGCACGAACCTGATCTCGAGTTACTCAGCGGCGATATTTTCAAACTCTGTGCATATCTCTAACCATGTCGTACTCGTAACCGCTCCGACTACTGCGCAGCGCCAATCATGACGCGGCTGTCTTGGGTTCGATCTGCGCCTATGGTCAGCCGTCCGAGCTATAGCGATCTCTTATGATCGTGACAACTCTCTTAGAGTTCGCGCTATACGTTGTCAATTCGATCGGCGCCCCGGTCTACGACAGACGAAGGAATGCGATGGTAACTATACTCAAGGTGTTCGGACTGTTGGCCTTCGGTTCTTGCCCCCTAAATGGCCTAGTTCGCACAGCCAAGCCTTGTGCTCGCGATTCAGGCGATCTGACAAGAGAGAACTTCTCCTTGAAGGCCTTGGACGGACAAACTCTGGCCTGCAAGGAGGCCTGCTGCATGCCATCGGGGCGTGGTCCGAAGGTGGTTCCGTGCCTCGTTGACATCGGGGAGGAAGAAAACAAAGGGGCGAAGGAAATGCTCAGACGGAGGCGCTGGAGGCGCTGGAGCCACGGACAATGTGTTTCGGGATGACTCAAAAGTCATCTCATCTCTCGGCCTTTGCGAACCTCTTGATCGCAGCCCCTCCCCCATACCGACGAATCGCCAACGGTTCCGAAAAGTCTCGACGGTTTGATGGAAAGGCTTGTGGCATCGCGGATTGTTCCGGAGCACGGACGGCGCCCCGGTGCAACTCGGTCTGCGGACTTCGCGGACACGCCCCGATCAACGTCCATCTCGCGACGTCAGCTACAACCGGGCGGTTGCCGGCGAGAACCTGACTAGCCGCGCAAAAATTGAATAAGTCATGTTCCTTGAATTGCAAATGAGCGTCGCCGGAGCATGTCGCAGGACGCTGTTAGCATGCATATTCGAGCATTGCCTGTCAGAGCACGCTGTTAGTATTTGGACGACTTGCGACGGATATAATGTGGGATTCTGGATACAACCACCAGACGAACGCCGCCTTCTTTCCCAGTACGCACGCAAGGCACCAAAGTCGACTAGTACCACGCACCTAAATCTTTTCAGCCTTCAACATAAAAAGGTGGCCAAGTCCATTCTCAAGCTAGAGCCTTGGCTGTCTCACACGGAGAGGCGTGAGTTATTAGACCATGAGAACCACCATCATACCGCCATATGCGCCATGCTCTCTTCAATCGTCAGACATTGACAAGGCCGCAACCATGACAGCAAAGGCAAAGACAAACACCACGGCCGGGGCCGCCATCTATGTGCCTATACTCCTCCGCTATATCTACGATCCCGTCGTTCTCGGCTTCTACTGCCCCCAGGCATGGCGGATCACCTCGAAAAGCATGCGGGAATTCTTCAACAGGCACATCGCCAGCGCCTCGGCCCGATCCCAGTTGCACAACCTGTGCGAAACACCAGGCGCTCTCTCGCCATGCCGGATCCTAGACATTGGCGTCGGCACGGGATACTTTCTCAAGCATGCGCCGATAGCGGCCGGGTCCGAGGTCTTCCTCGCCGACCTCAACCCCGCGGCCCTCGCAGCGGCCAAGGCACGAACGCTGGACGCGCACCCCCAGACGACGTGCGAGACCTCCGTCGCCGACTTTTTGGACCCCGTCGGCAAGGGCCTGTGCCGCAAGGACCTCGGCGGGGGCGACTTTGACGCCATCTCCGTCATGATGCTGCTCCACTGCGTCCCCGGCCCGCCGTCCAAAAAGGCCGAGGCGCTGACGCGGCTGCGGCATCTCCTGGCGCCTGGCGGTACGCTATTCGGGATGACGATCCTGGGACGGGGCGTGAGGCACAACCTGCTGGGGAGGCGGCTGATGTTCTGGCACAACTTACTCGGTGTGTTTGGGAACGCCGAGGACGACGTGGAGGGCATTGTCGGGCCGTTGATGGAGGTGTTTGAGACTGTCAAGTGGGAAGTCTGTGGGACGATGCTCTTGTTCGAAGCCAGTACACCCAAAACCCCAGACGTGGGGGAGGTCTACTAGGCCTCTCTGGTCTGTGAGGCTGTTAGGAATCAGGGGCAAGTCCAGAGGCGCGGTCTGAGGTCGCTGTTGTGTAAGACAGGGTACACTGTAATGTTGACGAGACACATGAAGAATGAATTACAAGGAACTTGGATCCTTTCTCAAGCTTGGTTTCATTCGTTGAATGGAAGGGACATCCCTTTAGAGTTGCAAATGATCTACTCCCCATCGCCAAAATGAAACTTGACTGAGGGCGGGCTGCTGCGGAACTTGCCAAAAGTCAAATGATGTTTCTTATTGGACGAATGTCTTCATTTTATGAAGGAGAAGTCGTGATAGCACAGGAACTTGGTGGAATAGAGTTAAGGGTGGTTCATGATCACTGATTCCCAGAGGGTACATATAGACATTGAGGTGACAGGAGCAGTTTGCGGTCAGTGTCTTTATACACATGTTTGACTTTGCATATCAAATTGGATTCCAAAAAAAATTTATTCTGATGAACTTAAATCCAGTGACCATCATTACTCTGGACTGATGCGTCATGTTTCCCAAGATATCCTATTCCCATCGGTCAGATGGTTCAGGGGTGGTCCTGGAGCATTGAGCAAAGGAGCGAGCCAGGTTGAAAATGGATGTTAATCCAGTGGACAGGAGTGAAAATATGCAAAAGGGAAATTTGGTTCCATAAGATGTATCCGCGCCATTGAACCTATTCACGGAAATCTAGGCAATATGTGCTCCAGGTCGTCCCTGCTGCGTGTCTATCTGAGTCCTTATAGCATCATCGTATTTGTTCAATACCTCCAGCATAATCTATGAAAATAGAGCACTTCCAGATTTATCACCCCAGCATCAGAGTACATCTTATGAAAACTACAGTGCGTTAGTCTTTGTCGTCCCCGTAACTTTGACAAGCAAGGCTTGCGCAAAGCAAACTGCAAGACGCTACAGCCCTACACGGCGGCTCTGACTCGTCGTGGTCTGAGACCTTCCATTCTCCATCTGCCCGTGGCCAAAGCTTTTTTATCAGTGTACCTCTTCTCGATTGCCTCGAGGCTGTGGCCCCGCGTCTCGACCATCACAAAGGCCACCACGATGGTGCAGATGAAGGAGCAACCGGCGAAGAGAAAATATGCACCGAAAGTTGACTTTGACAATAATACCGGTGTAATTAGCGCGACAACGTAGTTGGCACACTGTGTGATATTGTCAATACGAACCAAAACTTTCAGGGATTGAAGACTCAAGAAAGATCAAACAGAAACGTACCCAGTTTGAACTTTGTGCCAGGCTGGATGCACTGCTGCGAGTTTTTGTCGGTAGGCTTTCTACCATGAAAGTCCGGAAGCCGATGGCCCAAGTGCCACTGTATACAATGGCGAAAAGGTAGATGGACACGATGACAACCCACTTTCCGGCTCCCGCGTCAGCGTGGACCTCTCCCGCTGCATACAACGAACCCATCAATAGCATCAAAGTGGTGATGAGCACTCCACCGAGCAGGCTAGACGTCCGCCGTCCCCATCTGTCTGCTAAGAATGTTGCGGGAATCGTGACTGCGAGGATCACCAATGCGGAGACACCAGACGCGAGGAAGGTGGCCTCTTCACCGCTCAGTCCAGCTTGTGTGAAGAGTATAGGCGCATAGTAGAGGATCCCGTCGATGCCGCTCCACTGCTGCATCCCCAGCAGGAAACAGCCAAAGATGGTCCTGCTCCGGAAGGGTGCCGAGAAGGCTTCCCTGGAATCGGTAAACATCTGTCGTAGAGTTTGCAGCAATGAAACGTCGGGTCTTTGTTCTTGCGCCTGGGCCAGGGATTGCTCTAAAAGGTCCTCTCGCTCGCTCTGATCCAGGCCCAGGCGGTCCAGAACGTGACGGGCCTCTTCGATCCTGCCTTTACCGAGCAGCCACCTGGGCGATGGCGGGACGATCCAGTACGTACTGGAGAGGGCGAATCCCAAAAATGAAGCCACGGCCAGCGGGAGGCGCCATGCCAGGGACGATGCTTCGATACGAGCGGTGCCGTAGCACATGAAGTAGCCGGTGACGATCCCAGTGACAATGGAAAACTGCGGCAGGGCCGTGATGATACCCCGGACTCGGGCAGGCGATATCTCTGACACTTGTACATAAACGTTGCTCAGGAACATGCCCTCGCCAACGCCCTTGACGAGACGGCCCAAGATGAAGACCCCGAGGACAGGCGAAGCACACTCTATGCTAGTGCCGCAGCCGTAGACGAAGGCGCCCAGAGAAAAGAGGAGGACGTGCCCGAAACGGTCTGCCATGGCACCGGACACGAGAGCTGATAGGGCGCCAGGGATGAGGACGGACGACACGATGACTCCGTGCATTGTAGGGGAGAAGTCGCCAAACGTACGACGGAAAGACGGCATTGTCGTTACGGGGCCAATGCTCCCTGTATCAAGGCTTGATAGATTGCAGCAGCTTGTCAGCTAGGGATTGTCCAGGGCTAGACACCATGACGAAAGCGACCGCGGAATGATTAGATAGTAGGAGAGGAATTGCGCGCGGGCACCAGCGGGCAGAAAGGGGGGGGGGGAGGAAGGCAGCGGGTTTCTTAGACGCACCCAAACAGCATCGCAACGCATGATGCAACGATGCTTGCTCTCACATAGAGAGGAATAGGGAACAGTGCCATATTTGCCGCCGGCAGTGTCACGGATTGGGCTGGGGGAACTATGACAGAGCTGTCGAATCGAAAGAATATCACGGGTGGGTGGTTGACGATGCAAATTGATGTGTTCAATGTTTCTTCTCAAAGGTGGTGCCGGACCTCGAAGAATTGGGAGATGGTACGGATAGCATTGGGCTTTGGGCTAGAATTCCTCCACATGTTTGGGCGAGGCCGCTGATGCCCACCACCCACAGCTCATTGGTACAGCTGTCGCGGCGTTGGGGCACGACGAGGAGGCACTACCTTATCATCTAGAAACTCT